AAGAGGAATGAGACTAGATTACAGAACATGTTGAAAGCCAGGCCAAAGGGGTTTAAATTGCATCTTAAGCTTTTTCTTTTTTCCCTCTTAAACTCTCATAACTTCAGGATCCAGAAGCACTGGCTCAATTAATGCTGTCCATACCACTAACCAATGATGGCAAATATGTCCTGTTAAACAATCAACCAGATGACAATGATGGAAATCCAAGTGAACATAGAGGCGCAGAATCTGAAGCATAACTCACTTGCGCCTATGGGGGAAGAGCAAACAGGAAGGAGAGCTACCTCCTAAGGGTTTTCAACTTCTCTGACATATAGGCACACTGACCTGATTTCGGAATGTGGACAGTCGTTTGTGGAATGTACTCTTGATGCCTTGATACTGAGACTTGGGAGGGAAGCTGAGAAATGGTTGACAGCGTTCCCACCCATCTACAAATGTTACTTTAGGTGCTTTGTGGTAAGTCTTTTTCTTAGATTGTACTAAGATTTCTTAGATTGTTCAGTGCTCAGAACAAAAGTTTGAAAAATGCATTGTTCATTCTAGTATCCTTTTTTAAAAATGGCAAAAACCTAGATTTACAATTTGAGGAACACTAAGTATTTCCTATTAATGTAATCTATTTTTGTATTTTACTTAATGAGCTTTAAGTGCCTGTCTTTCTGAAAATTGTGTATTTATAATCCAGCTTATCCTGTAATTGGACGTAATAGCATTTCTTTGTGCAGTTAGGGGATGAGCACTGCTTTGAGGCCCAAGCACTAGTAGAGATGTGAGATGCAGGTCTAGTTTCAGTAACTGTTCCAGACATCATGCAATAAAAAGACGAATACCACTGAAGACGTTTGATTTTACAGTGGAGCCTTACTGAACCAGCACTCAGAAGTTTGTTTAAGGTCCTCCTAGGTATTTTCAGTGGTAGGTCACTGTCAACAGGGTGTAGCTCTACCAGTTCCTATTTCTGAGCCAGACCCTCCTCAAGGAAGGGACCAATTAATTTTAAAACTCACTTGAAGCCCAGCTGGTCATGGGGCTTGGTATAAAGTTCCTATTTCCACCCTGATACTTCTGTCTCCTGGAACCCAGCCCACTCCCCTATCCCGCCTCCCTATGAAATAAGTATAATGATTTTGAATCGGTACAGTGTGTTTAACGGTAACTAAGTTCAACAGACTATTATCTTTGTAATAAATTAACCTAGCAATAAAAATTATTCTGTTTCTTTCTTTTGCTTGTTGTGGTTATTTTCTAGAACATCTCTGGACAAAAACTAAAGTCAGTTCTATAGCTCTAACATTTAATTTCCGAAAAACTAGGGCATAATGAAATTACAGAAGGGATATAGTATCAAAAAATACTTCTAGTCAACATGAGTAGAATTTGTGTTCCCATTGCCAAAATTTTTAAAGGTGTTGCCTTTTAAATGGTGGATTAATAAAACTTTTGCAATCCAAAGCTAACATCATAGGATCCATTTGAAATGTATACACCATAAAAGACACAGTAAGCCAGTCTAAGCCAGTATCAGATTATGTACCATAAAATTATTAATTGTTCACTAATGCCTTATAAATTTGTATGACATAACTGCTTCAGGTCCACTGGTTCTCTTATAGACTGCAAGAACCACAGTTCCCTGAACTTTTTTTTTTCTTACTTAGACTTTTTTGGGAGAGGGGTAGCAATCTCAAACCCTAAACAATTATTAGTTTGAAAACAAACACTATTAAGACTGCATGGCTTAAATAAGACACAAAGCACACACATTAAGGAAACATAAAAAGACTGAAATTCAGTCCATTAAAACTAACTTCATCAAAAACCACCACAGAGAATGAAAACACACAGCAAAATCAAAGAAACTAGCAAACACACAAGACCAACAAAAAATTAGCATCCAGAATATATAAAATACTCCTACAAGTAGAAAGATAAGTTGAAAAAAAAAGTCATGAAGGCATTTCATACATTAAAAAATAAAAAGGGCTCATAAACAGAAACAGACTCCTTAAAGTAATCAGAAAAGTACAACTTAAAGCCACAGAGACATTTTATATTCACCGGATTGCAAAAATTCAGCTGTGATAGAAATGAAACGATGGGGAATCTCATCTGCTGCTGAGATGAAGCAACAGTTTGGCATTCTGTGTAGTACACCTAAAAGTGCACCTGCCCTACTACCTAGCAGTTTTACTTTGGGTACACAGCCTAGAGAAACTCTCTAAACACATGGACCCAGGGACATGTTCAATAATGATTGCAGCATTGCTGTTTACAATATTCCAAATGTGAAAATAACCCAGATGTCATCAACAGAAGATAGCTGTATTCATGTAACGAAATGCTAAACTACAGTCATATGCATCACTGTTGTTGAACTTTAAAAATAATACTGAAAAGGTCATAAAAGCATATAATAAGATCCCATTTATATTTAGTTTAAAAACTGAAACACAACCATATTGTCAATATTTAGGAAAATACAATCAGCTATAAAACAAGGGAAGAGCAAGAGAAAGGTTACCACCAAACCCCCATGTGCTTTCCTCAGGCAGAAACTGCAGGAGCTTCTAAAGTGTTCTTAACTGACGCGGTAGCCTTCCTCACATTGTCTACATCTACCTGAGCCACTTAACAAGAATAGTTCTTTAGAGACCCACTTAAAGTCAAACACAGACTGTATTTTCATTTTCAATCTTTCCACCTAAAAGAGTAATAACACCTAATGCTTATATGCCAAGTGTATTTTTACCTATGAGAGTACAAATAAGTAATTCAGTAATAGCTAATGTTTATAGTAGTTATATACAATAGCAGCTAATATTTACTGTTCCCTAATATATAAAGTGCTTTACACAAATTAACTAAATCCTCAAACAACCTATGAGCTGCATACTGTCATTACCATCCCATCTTTTGCTCAAGGAAATGAAGCACAGAGATACTAAGGAATCTGTTCCTAAGCAGGAAATCAGGATTCAAATTGGTCTGGCTCCAGAGTCTATGCTTCTAACCACTCTCTGCTATATATAGGTGACCTCAAGAGACAACCAGATACAAAGCAATCTCTAAATGTTTCTCAATACATTTAAGTTTTGACGATTTATTCAGTAGCAGAACCAACCCAAAGTATAATATTCTTAATACTTTGCTACCTTTTGTACAGATTCTGAAAAGATTAAATACTTTAATAGTAATTGGATATAGACAGGTGCTTCCAGGTATACAAGTTTACTCCTTCCCCCATCAAATGAGGACATTATTAAAGAATGTGTGGCTACATGCCGCTCTTACCTACAGAATGTATTTATATTCCTTAGAGATAATCCAAGAATTATGTTATCAAATCTGCATCAACTGAATAAATTTCATCTACATTCCTGAGTATATCTCCACTAATGGGAAATGGAAGTACCAGGTAAACAGTGGTAAAGAGGAGCCAAACTACTGAAAAGGAAACACTTAATTGCCCAACTTTTCTTATAAACTATATATATACTGACTTGTATTATAAACTGAACTCTAACTTTGCTGTCACCATCTCTGGGTTTATTGCCTTTGCTTAATCTCTACAGATTTTCATTTTTTCTGGATTCCCTTTTCAAACTTCAAATCTTTGACAGCCTATTAAAGTATTCCTAACATCTAGAAAAACCTTTGTTAAAAATATGTGGCATTAGAACTTCTCTTAAAAAAAAAAAAAGGAATACCATCTTCTGAAACATCTGCAATGTGAAGCTGGAAAGAAAATCCCATTACTATTATTAGAATCAATTAAAGCCTTCCTTTTACATTTAGCAGACTCAGCATAAAAGAGTAACATGAAGTATGCAATATTTTCTCACTTTTCCCACAATCTTACAAATTTACTGCCTCAGAAGAAAAAAGGAACAGCAATCAGACTCTACCAAGAGTGATTTCTGCAGTGTAGCATTTAAGAAGGTTATATTGTGTCTCCAGTGTAATACTTTGAGGATTCTGTGATTACTGTAGTCCTTGCTATCTAAGAGGGATAGACCAAGACCCCCAGTGCATGCCTGAAACTGCAGATACTATCTAACTATATATATACTATGCTTTTTCCTATATACAGGTACCTGTGATAAAGTTCATAAGTTAGGTACAGTAAGAGATTAACAATAACTAGTGATGAAAAAGAACTGTAACAAACAGTCACCTATGTCACTGATAGAAGATTCATTCTTACCACAGATCTAAGTAACTCCACATAGTATTTTTTTTTTCTTTGCTTATTGAGAACTTTCATGTTTTCACTTGAAGGATGCACTTTAAGGCTTCTCTTACAGCATATCTGAATTGCTAGCATCACTATTCCTGTACTTTGGGGCCATTAAGTAAAATAAGGCTTACTTGAAGACAGACACTATTGATTTGACAACCTAGCTACCAAGTGATTCATGAACAGGTGGCACATACAGCATGAAGATGCTGGACAAAGGGATGACATACATCCCAGGCAGGATGGAGCAGGACAGCATGAGATTTCATCATGCTATCCAGAATAACACAGAAGTTGAAATTTACTGTTTCTGGAATTTTCCATTTAATATTTTCAGACCACAGGTGACCACAGGTAACTGAAACTAGAGAGTAAAACCCACATATAAGGGGAGACTACTGTATTGCTTTAATTCAACTCATGTTTGCAAATATCACTATAGTTATTACTAACATTAAACACTGCATACTGAAAATCCCTTTCCAGGATTAGGATTTAAAAAACTTCATATTGGTTCTTTTTATTGGACAAAAGCTCTGGAAAGATTAAAAATGTATAAAGGAAAGAACACACCTTTCTTTCACCTGAAATACATTGACTGGAAGCCAATTTTATACTTAGTTTTTTACCTATATGCATTCATTTAAAAAAAAAGATTCCATACATTTCATTCAATTAAGGGGGACCCCAAAAAGGTTAATATTAAAAACTATTGGTTTAAGACATTCAATTTTGAACATAAACATCCAGGGGAAGGAAATTTTCGAAATTATGTTTATTAATGTTTTAGTATACACATTGTATTCTCTTAAGAGTTGGGGAAGAGGGAAACCCCACTCAAGTGAGGTAACAAACTTGCCATCTTTTACAAAATTTAATTAGAACTGACAATGTTATGGTTAGTCCTTAATTCCTGAGAATTTGAAGTATCATTAAGTTTTCTGTGAACTTACAACAAACGCTCACATTAATTTTTAAATTACAGTATGTCTGAAAAAATAAAATCAATGTTAATATGTTATCAAGAAAAACCATCATCCAAATGTACATATGAACTTAGGTGTGAATAGACTGAAGCCCTGTTGCTCTGCAGTTTGAAACCGTTTAAATACTTGTTTCCAAGATCTTATTTAAAAAATGTGAACTTATAATCTATCCTGATTGCAGTGACATTATTTTGAACTAAAGGACAAATAATTGTCATTTTCTTCTCAATTGTAGGTATTCAGGGAGTCAGCATGTGAACTCTATATAGTATTGATAAAATAATTAATTTACATGTGCAGGGATAATGAACAGAGAACATCTAATTCTCTTCTAGTAACAATTTCCATCCCCACTAAAGGGAATGATTTCAGGGAAGTTAGAGAAGAAAAACAGAGAAAACAATACTGTTGCTATGAAATGATGACAAATTTGACATAAATGCAAGATCATTAATATAAACATTTATAATGAAAATATAAATTATTAATTATGCAGCATGCTTTAGGGCCATTTCTACAGTTATTATGAATTACAAATATTAAATGCCTTTAATCTATCCATTGTCCATAATCCTGTAAGCCATGTTTACATAATAAACAAAAAACATTTCCTACATACTCTGTCTCTTCTGACTTTTAACAGTTAAAGTATTTATTTGGGCTGGCAAGTTACCCTGACCCTAACCAGTAAGTACAAAGAGGGCATCACACACCCATTCTAAAAGCTGGAATCAAAGAATAATGTTACAAGTACTTGCAGGATTTATCCAAAGAAATGTTTAGCAGACAAATGCAATAGAAAAAAATCAAGCATTTCCCAAAATGACATTTGCATTAGAAAGTCTTAAACTTTTATCTTCATTGTAAAGGTATCATTTTAATACATTTTTTAAAGGCCATGATTAACCATTTAATAACTTATATACCTTTACAAAAATAAAACAGTTTGCTGGGCACAAAATTTACTCAAAATCTTTCTGTACTTTTAAAATCAGTGATGTATGTTACTAGCGCTTTATTCTCACAGTGGTATTTTTTTTAATGCCTGAAAAGCCTATTACTTAATCTGATGTCTTAATCATACTTAATTAAATAAAAAAAAGGTCTACGCAAATCATCACCAAGATTTTAATTCAATCTAATGTAGAAGAAACCTGAGTTTGGATATAGAAATAATTCATTCAATTTTTTTCTGACATCATACATGATGCCTTCAACCAAAATAGAAGTGAAGTTTCAAACAGGACTCTATGGCTTTATCTGAATTTTCTTTGAGTATTAAGTAAATCTTAAAATGTAAAGCAGCTGTTGGAGGTTAAATGTTCTCAAAGCAATGTAAACTAGTTATAAAGTGTCTCATCAAAGACATCAGCAGCTCTTTTGAGTCACATGAAATTAACAATGAAAGAATGATCATCAGTTACACTGTACAGAGAGTACATAAAACACTTGTACCTCACCTCTAGTGTCAAAGCCATCATCATATATTCCTTTTATAAGAATATTGATATGTATTCTTCATTAATTTCAGGCTTGTTCCTTTTGTTAAGCATGTATTTACTGGCTGTATATAGTATATGCATTTAATTTCCTATGACTTGAGATGACTATAATCAAAGATCTATGCAAATACAAATTAAAAACACTCACATAGATTATAAGAAATCTGAGGTGATGTTTATAAATATGGATTTGCCCTTTTTTAACTTCACTTCAAATAGAAACATCTTCTACCGTCAAGTCCAGGCAAAAATCCAATTTTAAAATCTCATTCTCAACCTTTTAAAGTAGAGCTTTTGGAAACAGAATGGACTTCACTTTAGAGCACTGCCTTTAAGAGTTGTAACATCTGTTTTCCAGAGATGTGACCCAGGAAACAATTCATAAATAGTTTATCCATTCCACTGGCAAGAGTTTTAACACGATTCTGCTGATTTCATCATGTTCTGTGCACAGCATCAGTATCATTTCACAACAGGATCAGCAGACCCAGTGCTGTCGGACAGGTCTCCGTTGCTTGTTTTAGTTTCCTCTGGAAGCATGAGTGAAAACAATAACGGATATTTGTGTTCATTTAAAAAAAAAAAGAAGTAAATAAAATTTAAAAGCGCTATACTGCCAAATTTCAAATTAAGGTTGCATCCATCAAATGTTTCTCTAACATCACAAATTATACATCATTTACACTTTAAATTTTTTAAAAATCTAGGCTAAGCACTGCAAATGTTTCCACTGGTTTTTAATGGAGGAGTGGAGTAAAGAGAGCTCAGAACTGCATCGGGGTGGGGCTTCAAACCACATGGGCTCCTTTGTCCTGAGGAATCTTGATATTCCTGGTCTAAGGAGGCCCGTACCAGTTCCTCCAGCTGGGCCAAGAAAGTGCCATTATAGTAAGTACACTGTCATTCCTGGTAGGAACATGGCTGCAAACTCGCATATCCAAACTGTCCAAAATTAGTAACTTTCCATTTTTATTTATAACTTATTATAATAAATTATATGTAATATATATTTATTAAAATAACAATTTTAAATGAAGCAGCTTTTCACTGTTTTTGACAGAATGAATTCCTGGCTTTTTGTGCAAAATGTCATGTGCACATATTTGATTAACAAAGACTATTTGACTAACGTATTCAGCAACTATATCTGAGCAATCTTTAGCCGAAATAGTCTTAGAACAGTGATGTGAGTAATATTTAACAACTGGAACCCTGGAAAGTTCCTTAAGAGGAACAAGCCAAAGCAAGGGATCCCACTGCATGACCCTGAAGGCCTCTATGTTTTCTTTAAATGATTTAGGCCAGAAAGCAAATGTCCAATCTACCTGCAGAGTTTTCCCAGTCAGCTGGGCTGGGGAAAAGGTTCTGGCATCATGAAACACATGAGCAGAACCAAGGCAATAACTGAGTTTCTTCATAATTTAGGTTATATTGATTGAAATTCTTCCAAATGGCTTTGCTAATTTATCTTATCCTTGAAAATGAACGCAAAGGCAGAATGTACAAATTTTCATTTAATACTGAGTATCTTCCAGATTAATAGGCTGAAACAATTTTTTCAAGCACGTTTATTAGTCTAGATTCAAAATATGCCTGGATATGCACCTAATTAATATTAGAAAATAATATTTAATTTATGCAACAATGTCAAGAAATAAGGCAGTTCATGTAAGTGGTCTACCCAAATGAGTCACCTCTACTGTATATAAAGAAAAAAGATGTATTTTAAAAATTGACATAAGATTAACAAAAACATCTTGTTTTATGAAGAGCTTTATATCTTGACTTATGAAAACTTCATGAAACAAAGGAGAAAAACTTGATGACAAAAAGGAGACTAGTAATCATGAAAATTATAAAGGTCAACTAGTCGCTGTACCTAGTTTTGATCTTCAAAGCAAAGAGAAAAATGTACATTACATAATTTCCATGACAGAAAAAGGGAAACATCTGTTCCTCAGAGAAGATGATTATTCCTAAATTTCAAATCTTAGAGAAATATATCATGGGAACATTAAATATGAAACACTGAACAATGCTCTTAACGCCTTAAAATGTATAGATTCCTTTCCACCAACCTACGTAAAATACAATGGACAGAATCCTTTCCTTAATGATTGAAGTTCACTGAAATGACTTATCAGTTATTATGGCTATATTGCCTGAGTCTCCAGGGCCTGACTATGAAAGAAGGCAGGATGCTATTTACTACAACTAAATAGCTCCCATGATTTCATACTTCTTTAATCACATGTCCCATCTCATTCAGTCGACATCTAGTCATCAGCAGCTCTGCCTTCAGCAACATTTAGCTGTCCTCCTGTAATTTGTTCCTTTGAATCTGATTTGAGCCATGAAAGAAAAACCAAACTTGTTAAAACTGTATTTAAATTAAAAGCAGATGATCCTGAATAAGGACTTAAAGGGTTGCCACAGAGTGAAATGCATGAACTATATAAATTCCTTTTCAATTTCACACAAGATCTATATAGGCTTTACTTTTTTTAAAAGATTTATTGCTAGGTCTGTGATATTTTCCAAAAGGACAAAGAAGCTAGAAGTCTAGCCAGATAAAATGGTGCATTAGTGTCTATTACTAAAGACATTTATTGGTCTTTCCAAATTTAAACCACTCACTGACCTTCCTTCTCTTTCTTTTCTTGGTTTTCTTCAGCCGCAGTCTTGTCTGCTCTGAAGAAAATTCTTGCACTGCTCAGTGAGAAATACAGCAATTCAAATTCCTAATTAAAAAATGTGAGATAAAAACCAAAAATATTACGGCAAAATACCAAAAATATTTACATTTTTATGCCTTTTTATTATTATTTTGAAAAGCCCTAGTGGAAATCATAAATACAGAAACTGAAGTAAGTAACCCACCCATTTTTAAGATCTGAGTCAAATGGCTTCCAAATACCATTCATTTTAAAATATAATCTTTTTTGCCACTATTCATTTTACTTGTTAAAACAGGGGGTTCTATATGGCTTCTGTTTTTCAGACATCAAGAAGTCATGAATACCAAAAGGTAAGTTAAAGGAGATGTGACTCTTAGGCTCCTCTACCTGTAGATAGACATCCAGTCGCTTCTGAGTGAGATTCATGGTTTGTAAGAGTTTTTCATCTTGACTGGTTGACTGCACATTCTGTTGCTTAGCAACTGCTCTTATCTCCTTCAGGTATTTCTCTCTAACAGACTGGAACCAGTGAAGTGAGTCAAACTCCCGGTACTGATCCAAAAGCTTTAGAATGTAAGCCACACCTGCAGGCATCAGCAAAACTACAGTTAAATTACCATGAGTACAGAAGCTGTATTCTACTCCTTCACCAATAATTCCTAGCACTAAGCATTTTGAGTAATAATTCCTAACATTTTAAGTTCATCCCCTTTCAAGTTCCATTTTACAACATAAATGACAGGTTTAGTAAGATGGCTTAATTCCTCCCTTAAAAACAATGTAGGAATATAACAAACTAAATACAAGTCAATTAAGAAGAAAATAAGTAAATAACAAGGCCATATAAATCACCTAGAGAAACGATATAGCTTTAAGGGTAAAGAATAAAATCTTCCATGACTTGCGCCTGTAATTCCAATACTCTGGAAAGCTGAGGCTAGAGGGGACTGCTTGATCTCAGGAGTTCAAGACCAACCTGGGCAACACAGTGAGACTCCTGCCTCTAAGAAAAAAATTTTTTTAATATTAGCCAGATGTGGTGATGCATGCCTGTAGTCCCAGCTACTCAGGAGGGTGAGGTGGGAGGATTGCTTGGGCCCAGAAGGTCAAAGCTGCAGTGAACCATGACTGCAGCACTGCACTCCAGCCTGGCTGACAAAGCAAGACCCAGCCTCAAAAAGAAAGGAAAAAAACACTTTGCTAAAAAGATAGCCAGGCGGGACACAGTGGCTCACACCTGTAATCCCAGCACTTGGGGAGGCCGAGGCAGGTGTTATCACAATGAGGAGTTCAAGACCAGCCTGACCAACATGGTAAAACCTCGTCTCTACTCAAAATATAAAACTTAGCCGGGTGAGGTGCTGGGTGCCTGTAACCCCAGCTACTTGGGAGGCTGAGGCAGGAGAATCGCTTGAACCCAGGAGGCAGAGGTTGTGATGAGCCAAGAGTGCACCATTACACCCCAGCCTGGGCAACAGAGCAAGACTCCGTCCCCACAAAAAAATAAAAGATAGCCAATAAGGAAGCTACAGGAAACCAGAGAAACTAAATATAAGATGTTAAAATGTACAACCCCAACAAAAACAAAGCCTAAACAAACTAGACAATTGATCAGCAATAGTAAGAGGGCATTAAATAAGTTATAAATTATGGAAAACAAATATTGTCAATCACGTATTCCAGCTAAAACCATAGTAAACAATGCTCATGAAAAACAAATATATAAAGAGCATACAGACCTATTCTCAAGCAAATGTTTCTAAGAATCCATTATAAGGTGAACATAAAATTAATGGAAAAACAATTCCATTAAGCTTACCCATGGCAAAGCCATCATCAGTAAAGGCAGCTCCAATTTTATTTTTTTTATTCAATTTTTCCTTGCAACTAATGGAATGCTCTACAAAGTTGAGGGTCTAAAAAGATGTAACAAGATGTCAGAGAAACAACTGTGCTAAGAAAATCTTCAGAATTCCTAAAACAGACATTTCAACCATTATAAATAGAATCTCTTCTAGGTATCTGTCCTTTTCATCTAAAACATTTGCTTCAGGTACTCTGTTGGTGAAGACACAACCTATACAAGTGTATCTTCATGACTCTCCTTTCCACGTCCTTTAAATATGGGTACTCCCTCAATCACTACTTAGCCCAAGAACAGTGCCTTGTATATCTCATTATAAAATATTATACACATTTTACAGAGAAGGACACTGAGGCTGGGGAGATTTATTATCTCACCCAAAGTCATATAATATAAGTGAACACTGGAGTTAGCAAAGTAGGCCTGCTTTACTTCAAAGCGTAAGTACCCTTATAAACACATGTAAGACAGTACACCTACCTAATTCATTCTAAAATACTATTTCTTTTCATATTGTTAAATGTGAAATCCTCAAAACAGTACTTCCCTTGAAAATTCAGCTGTTCCAAAATGCCTTATCTAATCATATCTTTTATTCAACAAAGATTTACTAAAGCTTACAATATACCAGGCATCATTAAGTACTTAGGATTAAACAAATGATGACTATCTAGAGTTCACAGTCTAGAGCAACACTGTTGGCAGGGATGGAAATGTGAATCTGTACTGTCCAGTACATACAGTAAGCCAGTAATCACATGCAGCCACTGAACACTTGAAATGAGGCTAGTGTGACTGACAAACTAAATTTTTAATTTTTAAAAAAAGGATTTTTATTTTTGCTTGGCCTTATGATGAATTTTTAATTTTATGAAATTTCAATTAATTTAAGTAGCCATATGTGTCTACACATGGATAACACAGCTCTAGAAGAGTAAATGCAGAAGTGTTTGAAAAATAATTATGATATACATGTGCTGAGTACTATAATAATCTATACTGGAAACAAAACCAAGTTTCATTTTTTTGACTGTGAAACTTATTCAGTAATTAATCACCTATTTGTGAAATTTTTATCAGTCATTAATTAAATCTTTTTTAGAAATCTCATTTATGCTTGTCTTTTTTCTGGAACTACACTACAAACTCAAGTACAAGAGGAGTATTCTATACTTCTTTGTAGTGTTCTTAATCCACTTTGTTTCCAAATTCTGACAGCTGCCTTGTAAAACTCCAGACTTCTGCCTAAGCTTACCAGTGGGTTCAGTGCTATCTACAATGATTTGAGTATATTGCCCTTCAAATTAAAAAAATATGGTAAGAACTCACCCCAGGTTAACTATAGTACCAAATAAGACACTCTCCCTCCAGTTTGACACTATCTTAAGATGAAAAGATACTTATCAGATGAATATGAACTTTTTTTTTGCTATATCACAGTTAAAATACAATTAGGATAGAAAATTTACAAAAAAATGTGTAAAAGAAACAAAATTCATGGAAAGAAAAGCTGCTTATGGGCTATTAGCTACTTTCAATAGGTAATAATGACTTTAATATGTAATAAGATGTGTTAACAACTCGGGCAGCAATATGAAAAGTCACCATTCCTGATCAAAATTAAATGTAATAAAGAGCTTCATCTGCTGGGTGATATTTAGGTTTTAGAGCTATCTACTCATAATTTTTTTAAACCTTATAGAAATCTTTAGGCAAAAACAACTCTTACTGCTAATATGTACCTCTTAAACTCTTAACTCCATTTTCCCCAATGGAACAACTGTTTTTATAATGCAATTTTTGAGAACTTGATATATTTTTAGATACCAACTATAGAGTTAGAGCAAGAACACACTATATACTCTAGAAGCATTAAAAATTTAGTCTAGATGTATTTACTACTGAATAGAGAGAATTTATATTCAAACAGTATGCTTTAAGAAATATGTTAGAAAAAACTAACAGCTAAAGTTAGTCTACATTAAGCACTTAAAATGATTATATATTAATAATTCTGCCAGAAGATTGCATGGCATATACTCATGTAACTTAAAATACACTTGAATTTCTCTGGTAATTATTTTAAAAAGTAAGACTCTATCTTAGGCCACATGCGGTGGCTCACACCTGTAATCTCAGCATTTTGGGAGGCCAAGGCAAGAGGACTGCTTGAGCCCAGGAGCTTAAGACCAGCCTGGGCAACATAGTGAGACCCCGTATCTTAAAAAAGAAAAAAAATTACAAAAATTAGTTAGGTGGTGTACACCTGTAGTCCCAGCTACTAGGGAGGCTGAGACAGGAGGCTGGCTTGAGCCCAGGAGGTCAATCCTGAGTAAACCATGATCACACCACTCCACTCCAGTCTGGGTGACAGAGCAAGACCCCATCTCAGAAGGAAAAGAAAACTACTTTAATAAGTAAGTGTCCTTCAGCACAGCTAACAAGTAAAAATTCTATGTCAACATTCACTGAGATCACATTTAGTTTTACATATAACCAGGAAATTAATAATTAATAATGTAGTCTGTATGTCTGTATGCATTTCATGTTACAAAGAAACCAGATCTATTCGTTCATACTTTTTTTAAAAATTCAGGTTCTGGAAATACTCACCAGAGGGGGAACAATTATATAGAAATTTCGGAGATGTATATTCTTTGGCCTTCGAAATTCTGGAGCAAAAACATCTACGAGCATTTTGAAATACTCTGTGCCTTCAGCAGAATTTCGTGTGTGATCACTGAGGACTGAATCCAAATGCCTAAAAAGCAAAAAATTTTTTGGTTCCTTTCTCAAAAGAAGGTATGGCTTTGAAAAAATCCATCTCTCATTAGTTTAGATAAGAACATTCAAAAAGCAGGAAACACTGTAAAATACTTTTAAGACAATTTTCTTGGAGTTCAGAATAAACTCATTTTCTTATGGACAGAAAACTGACCAACATTGGTAAATTTAATCCCAAAAACAGACATAGTTCTGTATTTCTTCTTCCGAGAATAAGGCCTGTAGAACTACCCTTCATTGTAAATAACTTCCTCTTTCCCTTAACTCTCTAACATTTCTCCTACATCCCCTTATCTGAACTTAAACCTGGCTCTCTTTTCAAGAACTTAATTTCTCTCTCAACCTTCAAAAACATCAGCTGCTTTTCTCCTGCATCCCTCATGTGCAGCTACTACCACTTTCAGTATTATTCCTCTACCACTGGAAAGTAGAAATCTTCCTTTGTGACTCACATAAGCCAACTGTATCTAACTACCCAAATACTCAACTATTTCTTCCTAACAGCGGACATCCGCTAACCTTTTAACCGCTGTCCTGCAATTACGTAGGATCCCTGCTCCAGTACTTCATTGTCTATGTAGATAATCTATTCATTATCGTGACCCTACAATTCCTTGACTTCACCCATCATGACCTTTCCTTCACTTAATGTCAATCAGCCACTCCCTTGCACCAATCTGGATCTTGCAACTAGCTGTCAGCTTTACCCTAGAGCTCTTATAAGAAAATACATCCTACTCTCTGATTTCCTCACACTGCTACAAAATATTTTTTTAAATGCTCAACTGTTTTAGAGTGAATAGCATCATTTAACATAAGATAAAGGTCTGATTCTTTCCTTTGAGATACACACCACGAACTATTTAAAATGGCTTATTAACTTGGTACATGCCTTATGTAATCTGGCAAAGAGCAAAGCTATCTAACAGACTATTCCAGAGCAAAGTTTCTGTGCTGAGGCTTATTCTCATAGAAAGGCATGCATTTTCCAATATACTTTCATTTTTGTTTTATTTGTTAAAATTTCAAGCCTACAAAAAGTTAAAATATAGTATAATGAGCACCTGTATACCCTTCAACCAGATTTACCACCTGTTAACACTTTGACATAACTGTTTTCTCTATTTTTCTGAAACACTTGAAAGTTGTGGACCTTTTATCACTTAGCCCATTAATGCTTTAGCATGAACCTATTAAGAACTAAAACATTTTTCTACAAAGCCACAAAAAAACTGTTATATCCAAGAATAAAATACAGTATTAACTAATAATATACAATCCATGTTCAAATCTCCCCCATTATTCCCCAAACATCCTTTACAGCTATTTCTTTCCTTACCTTTCACAGATTATCACCCATTTCATGTGGTTATCAGGTCTTTTATTCTCCTAATAACAGTCTCCTTGTATTTTTTTGGTCAGGTCAAGTGTTTCATAAAATGCCCACATTCTGTATTTTTCAGGTTACTTCCTCATAATAAATTCAGGATAAACATATCTGGCCAGAATACAAACTAGGTACTTGCCATTACATTGGCCAAGGTGGAATATATTTCCCCACTGTAAAGACAGTTTTCCCTTTGTAAGTAATAAGCCATTTTATGGGATGAATTTCTGAATGAATCCTGTTTTCTACAAACTTTTCACCTAATGTTTTAGAAACCATTGGGTATTCTTGCCTGATTTTAAGTATTACAGTGATGGTTACAATTTCCCCTCTAAATTTAACAAGCATTCTTTCATAAAGAAATGACTTTCACCGGGTGAGGTGGCTCACACCTGTAATCCCAGCACTTTGGGAGACCAAGGTGGGTGGATCACGAAGTCAGGAGTTCAAAACCAGCCTGGCCAAGACGGTGAAACCCCATCTCTACTAAAAATACAAAAAATTAGCTAGGCATGGTAGCATGCACCTGTAATCCCAGCCATTCGGGAGGCTGAAGCTGAGGCAGAGAACTCCTTAAACCTGGGGAGGCGAAGGTTGCAGTGAGCCAAGATTGTGCCACTGCACTCCAGCCTAGGCGACAGAGCAAGACTCCGTCTCAAAAAAACAAAAAAAGAAATGACTTTCATTCCTTATAATTATGATCTTATGATTATCCTTCTTATCATTATGACTCAATGATTCTTTTTTATTCAACAGATTTGTATCTATCATTATTCTTTTTGATGAAATTGTCTCCCCTTTGCCCAGGGGTGCCCCTTCATGACTGATTCAATAACCTGCTAGACGTATGAATAAAACACAGTTTTCTAAACATATTCTTAACAATCCTGCATGCCTCTCAAGTTTTATGTTACAAAATCACTATGGACCCAAGTTTTGCACTGTCCAATAAGATAGGTATAGGCTATTTAAATTTAAATTAATATAAAATTTAAACTTCAATTCCCCAGTCGCATCTGCCATATTTTAAGCGTTTACGAGCCATAAAGGGTAGTGGCTACTGTACTGGACAGTGCTGCTATTGATCACATACAAGGAAGAACTAGCATTCTAGAACACTGTTGGTGAAGAGAAATATTTTAAAAAATAAAAAGAAACAGGTGAAATGAATCTTATGATTTTGGTATTTGGCATTCCTCCTTTTATACTAAATCTTCAAGATTAGTTATGTACTTTATACTTGCGCGTATCTCAATTTGGACCAGCCACATTTTAGGTGTTCAAGAGCCATGCGTGGCTAGTGGCTAAAATACTGAACAGCATGTTCTAGAAGCTGGAAAGATCTTAGAATACTGAAGTCTTAAAAATTATACTTCATGAACTGAGACCATAATTTTGTGTAATAAAAACAGGGGTATATAAATGACGTATTACCCTCTAGTCTTCTCTTCAGAATGTTTTTTACAAGCACACTATATCTCCAAATTTAGATTACCTTGCTGCTTTTAATGTTTCTTCTGCAAGACCTTCTTCTTTTACTAGTTCCTCAAAATTTACAATATCTTCAAGATCAGGAACGAATCTATATAAGAATTTGGGAAGGCATTTATTAGGTCAAGTAAAATATGTGCAATTGACACAGATAAGAAAGTGGTATTGCAGGACTCTAAACTTTCAACTATGTATTTGGAAACAACGGTGCATTTCAGTAATATTATATCACCACTTTAGTTCCAAACTGAATTTTAGATACGAATAATTATTTTAATCCTTAAAATCATGTAATCTTTACATGCATTCATAAATCATATTGATAAATTAACTATAACCTTAAGAGAAATATTTTCAGAAGTCTGCTGCAGTCTTAAAATTTGAGAAAAATCTAAAATTAATACTTTTCTTCCATATTTTATCGCAAAATATATCAAGAACAAAACACCTTATCTACAAAATAACTTGTAACATAGATTTAAAGGACATAGTTTTTAAAATGGCATAAACAAGGCAAAAATGATGTTTGCATCCATACCTAATGGCATTGCTGCTACAATGAAGACCACCAGATCTTATCATTCGTACATAGCCCATAGCATTACCTTAAAAACCACACAAAAAAATCAGATATTTATATAAATAACTAAATTCTAATAGGAATATAGTTACATACATTAGTAAATTACAAAGTTTCCACTCCTAAGTACCAAAATATTTTGCTGTATTTTACTTCATTTCTTGTTCCATAAAAAGTAAAACTGTTACATACTTCTACGCTTAAAATATAAACATACTTATATACATATATATTAAATATTTAAAATAAATGTTACTTTCTTTTGATAAACTAAAATCATTAAATGCTGACTACATTAAAATGGTCAAACTTAAAATAATAGTATCAATAATTTCTCCACTCTCACATTGACAGACAATCTCAATCTCTTTCTCTCTGACACATACACACACAGCTGGAAGTGATAGCAAGAAATCTTTATTTGATGTCTCCCGAATTTATAACTCTGGCCTAGACTCCTACTCTGGTGAACTCTAGGTTTTTTATTCAATTTATTCACCTTTATATCTAATAAGAATTTTATATTTAATATGTCCAACTCAAACTCAGGATCTTTATCCCCAATTTTGCCTATCCCAGAAATAGGCAATTCTGTCCTTTCAGTTGCTCAAGCCAAATGGCTTGAAGTCATTCCTGGCTCCTTCATCTCACATTTTATAATCCAATTACTGGACAAATTATGTTGACTCTGCCTTGAAAATGTAGCCAAGATCCACCTACTTTTCATTCACCCCCTTCACAAATATCCTCCTATGCCAATCCACCACCATCTCTTGGCTGGAGCACTGCAATATGTAATGGCCTCCTCATTTCCTTACTTCCACTTTTAGCATCCTGCCACACTCCCCAGTGTTGTATAGTATCTACAGAGCAGCCAGCAAATCTTTAAAAACTAAATTAAAGCGTATAATGCTTTTTCTTTTTTTTTTCTTTGAAACAGAGTCTCGCTCTGTCACCTGGGATGGAGAGCAGTGGCATGATCTCAGTTCACAGCAACCTCCACCTGGGGAGTTCAAGTGATTCTCCTGCCTCAGCCTCCTGAGTAGCTGGGATTACAGGTGTCTACCACCATTAGTCCACCTGGCTAATTTTTGTATTTTTAGTAGAGACAGGGTTTTACCATGTTGGCCTGGCTGATCTCGAACTCCTAATCTCACGTGATCCACCCGCCTCAGCCTCCCAAAGTTCTGGGATTATAGGCGTGAGCCACCACGCCTGGTCCCATATCATGCTTTTTCTGAAAACACTGTAATGGCTTTCCACCTCAGAATAAAATCCAAATTCTTTACATGGTCAGTATAGCCCTGCATTATCTTGCCCCTTGCTGCTCTTCAGATAGCATGCCCTGCCACTTACATCTTTGCTTACTCCATTCCAGCTGCCCCTGACTATTTCTCAAAAATGTGAAGTGAGTTAGGGCTTTTGCACTTACTGTTGCCTCTGTCTGGTATACTCTTTCCCCAGATGCACATGGCTTACGCCTCAACCTTATTTAGGTCCCTGCTCAAATGTCACCTCCTGCTTTCCCTGAACATCACTGACTAGCAGTGCCCAGCCCCCTTCCATCTCCTTACCCAGTGCTTATCACTGACATACTATGTATCTTTCTGTCTGCACCTTCCCCCACACCTAGTGTGCAAAATCCATGCGTACAGCCTTTTTGTCTTCTTCACTGCTCCATCCCTAGAGCCAACATGTCCTGGCAAATAGTCGGAATTCAATTTATAATGGAACTCACAAATTTTAGAATGTTAAATTTTAACATTAAAAAATTTTTAATGTGCATCTTTAAAAAAAATCAAATGTCTAGTTTCATTGTTTTCCTCCAAACCATCAAACCAAAGTCTGATGAAGCAAAATAGGAGAGCCTCAAATAGACCAGAAATTAGGAGTTAAAAAAAGCTCTGAAGCCAGGCCACCTGGGTTCAAATCTGGTTTCCCACATGTTAGCTAAGAGACCTACAAATTATGTTACCTTTCTGTATCTGTCTTTTCGTCTGGTAAATTAAGCTTAACAAGGACAGAGACTTTGTTTACTGTTATAAATATCACCAGCACCTAGAAACATTTTTTGTTAATACTTCATAAATGTTGTGGTAAGGTTCACAGGAGTTAAAACATATAAAGCACTAAGAACAGCCATGGCACACAGTAAATGCTCAATAAATGTTAATTATTATTTCAGCAGGCAAGTTATTAGTCAAAAAGGCTTTCCATTTTGCTCCCAGATCCTTTACACCTTTTCTCAAGATATTTATCAGACTCAAAAGCACATTACAGTGGTTTATAAGCCAAGATAAAGAATTTATATTGGCCAGGTGTGGTGGCTCACACCTGTAATCCCAGCACTTTGGATGGCCAACGTGGGTGGATCATGAGGTCAGGAGATCAAGACCATCCTGGCCAAGATGGTGAAACGCCATCTCTACTAAAAATACAAAAATTAGCTGGGCATGGTGGCACACGCCAGTAGTCTCAGCTACTCGGGAGGCTGAGACAGGAGAATCACTTAAACCCGGGAGGCAGAGGTTGCAGTGAGCGGAGATCAAGTCACTGCACTCCAGCCAGCCTGGGTGACAGAACAAGACTCCGTCCCCAAAAAAATAAGAGTTCATATTTTCTAAGAAGAGAATAAAGAGTAAAATAATGGATTCAAGCGAAAAGGATAGTATTCCCCAACTGTGGACTACAACCTGGTGGTAACCAAGGTGACGTTAGAAGGCACTTTAGTGATTATATATTTAGGGGGAAAATGACTAGCACTCTAAGGCCCATGATTTGACAACTATTATTTCTAAGGAAAAATTATACTTTCAAAAAATACAAAAACATGAAACAAGTAATAGTTCAGGCAGTATCCACAGGATGCAAAAATTCTGGGTATGTGAATAAATAAAACTTAAGCAACACTGCTCTACAGTAACAGCTCTTAATCTGAGCTCCACAGACCCCAGCTTTAAGCATACAGACTGTAGCATATTATATACAAAATTGTGCAAGTATGTCATATAGGCATCAGTTCTAGGGGAATCATCCCAGAGTCTTCCTCGGATTCTCAAAAAAGGTTAAGAATTATTACTCCATAAGTTTGCTGCCTAATATTAAATGTCCTCTCGAAGAAAACAGTACTTATTTGACAATACTTCATATTGCATGGTTTACAATAAAACATTTACAAAGGCAAAATTCTCTAAGTTCTTGTACTAAAACATAATAGAAATATCTAATATGCAAATCAATTAAATGATAAAACTTAACTAGCATTCAGTGACTTTACTCCAGAATGAAATGCTTATGACATATTTCCCACTGGTAAATTTAAAACTCCCTGAAAGCAAAGGGGCTGTTATTCCCAGCACCTAACAGAAAATGTGGCATAATAGACACTTAGTAAATGCTTGATAAATAAATAAATAAATCTCAAGAGGCAAAATTTTCCCAAAATATAGTCAATAAGATTTTACTAACTGCTTGGTGTTAATATGAACTGTCAAGAATATAAAACCCATTTGGACTTATAGTTAAATAACTCTGGTTTAAGTCTCAGAAACGTGACTTATTTCTTTCTCTAAGTTTCTCTTTTTTCATCTTCAAAACAATTACATGCATATCTCACAGGGTTACTGTGAACATATAATGTATGGGAAAAGCTCAAATAAGTATAAAGTTTTGTTAAGCTATTATTATTTTGAAATATAATTCTTGCTTTTAAATATAAAATACTATATATTAGAAGACAAGTTCTACTATATGCACAAGTAAAATGCTGTAACATAAAACTTAATATTTTTTCATGTAAATATTTTATACCTTCATAGTTAGACTGTAACTTGTGGTAATGTTTTAGAAGCCCAAAACAGTGCCTTGAACAGAGTAGGTATCCAGTAGGTACTTACCAGTTTACAATTATTAATATGACCTTTGAGATAAGTTAGTTATTAAATAACTTTTATTATAATTGAAAAGGTTTTATTTAAATGATTAGTCTACAGTATATCAATTATTTCCACAGCAACAGTTTAATCATACTTACAAATTTTGGGGTAAGAAAAATACCTGATTGGAGTAAAGTTAAGCTCAGGCACTCACATGAGCTGTTTATTAGTGTGAAATAGTTAATATGCGAGATAGATTGTGGGGATCTGTACTTGATTTCCCAACACTTTCATCATAACTTACCAATTTGGCTGATGAGTTGCCTGAATTGATCAAGGTAACTCTGTCCCTCAGGTGTTATTCCAAGTTTTCTGATGCCTCGATTGAATTTTTCTGCTCTATCAAAAGGATACTAGACAGAAAATTTTAGGGTTACTTTTAATAAAGATTTCCACAGCACAAGATCTCCCCGAAATAAACCATACCAATATTACTCTCCTTTCTAATTTTGTATTTTATTGTGCTTAAAAATATCACTCAAGATTAAGTTTTAAAAATTCGTAGAACAAAAACTACCAGTGTTAAAGGTCAATATAATTTTTTTTTACTTTTTGACATTAGCTAAAGGGACTAATAATCAATGCCACTAACCTAATTTCCTTACCACAATTATTCGCATCCTAACACCCAACAACTGCAACAGACAGAAAAAAGAAACCATTTCCTCCCAGAAACATTTGTTCACAGATGTGTGACCAAGTTTCTGTGGGCTGAATAGGTATTAGGGACTTAGAAACATACTCCTTCCCAATGAACACACATCCACTAGGTTAACATTTCTAGTAACTATCACCAATTTAAAAACTACTTTTTAGTCTTGGTTATCAGGAGATTTTAAAAGTTATTCATTTTGTAATAATAAGAAAGCAATTCTTAATACTATGAATATTAAATACTAGGAATTTCTGCTCCACTAAAAATGAGTTAATACAATTCTCTACTAAGAAATGTAATCTGTAATATAATTCTATGAGAAAGTAGTATTTTGCTACTCTGACATTGAAGAGAACTACCAATTATTATACAAGAGAGCTGGAACTAGGTGAATCTTAAGAAAAGTAATAAAAATAGTTCCTATGGCAGATCAAATATAGGACCCATCTAAGCCTGTTGGTTTTCTATCCACATGGCTATATACTCCTGCTGCCACTTAAAGACAATTCAACAGACTCTTCATTTCACGATGGGAAAATTCAGCCTAGAAGGTGAAAGGACAACAGCATTTTTTTCTGAGACAGAGTCTTGCTCTGTCACCAAAGCTGGAGTGTACTGGCATGATCTTGGCTCACTGCAACCTCCACCTCCTAGGTTCAAGTGCTTCTTGTGCCTCAGTGATATAGTTTGACTTTGTCCCCATCCAAATCTCAATTGAATTGTAGTTCCCCATGTGTCCTGAAACGGACCAGGTGGAGATAACTGAATCATGGGGATAGTTTTCCCTACCCTGTTCTAGTGATAGTTCTCACAAGATCTGATGATTTTATAAGGGGCTTCCCCCTTCACTGGGCACTCATTCTCTTCCATGGCACGCTGTGAAGATGTACCCTCTTCCATGATTGTAAGTTTCTTGAGGCCTTCCCAGCCATGCAGAACTATGAGTCAATTAAACCACTTTCTGCTATAAATTACCCAGTCTCAGGTATTTCTTCATAGCAGCATGAGAATGGACAATACACTCAGCCTCCTGAGCAGCTAGGACCATGGCATAGGCCACCATGCCTGGCTAATCTTGGTATTTTTAGTAGAGATAGGGTCTTCCCATGTTGCCCAGGCTGTTCTCAAACTCCTTGCCTCAAGTGATCCAACCACCTAAGGCCTCCCAAAGTGCTGGAATTACAGGAATGAGCCACTGTGCCCAGCCAACAACATTCATATAAATTATCAGTGGGAATATCAATTGTGAAGTATTTCTGGACTGCTAGGCAATATGTACCAGAATTTTAAATGTTCATATTCTTTGTCCTAGAAATTTCTCTTCAAGGAAGTTTTCGGAAACTTGATATTTACATAGATAGATGTGTAAAGATGTTACTTAGCACTGCTTCTAAAAGGGAAAATTAGAAAACCCTAAATATTGGTCAACAGAAAAGGGTTAAATAAGGTTATGTAAGTTATGATATACATGGATGTATCCTATCAACTCTTAGAATGAAGCAGATCTGTATGTACTGACATGTGATGAGCACAGTGCAAAATGCTATGTATATTACTTCATTTTTACTATCAATATATGTGTATAAATATATATGTTTATACACAAAGATATCTGAAAGCCATCACACTACATTGTTAGCAACTGCCTCCAGAAAATGGCATTGAAAGAAAAATGAAGGTGGATATTCAATTGATTCACTCTGTATTATTTAAATGTTTAAAACAAAGTATCATCTGGCTACATTGATCATTTAACTTTTTTCTTACCTTAAGCCTACAGATAACACAGAGTTAAGAAATTATAGGGAAAATAAAACGAAAACCCCATGAGATCTAAATAATGCATTTTAGCATAAATATTTGTCACATACTCAATGGCTGAAACAAATATCTTAAAAAGAATAGGTAGCCTACCTTATGATCATTTTGGTCCTTAATTTCCCTGAAAAATCGAATATCTTTAATCAATCTGGATTTGATGTGTTCATCATACATAAATTGGCTAAATATATAGAACTTCTTTTTCAAAAACTGGTAGGTGAAATTAACCTATAAAATTAAAATTCAAAAAGTTAAAAAATATATAAATATTCAAATCAATTCATATCAGTTTTACTGTATAATAATTACCTATTTATACTACCTATAAAGTACTAATTAGAAGGTCTATTTCATGTTGGACCTGAAAAATATCTAAATAAAGTTTTTTATTGCTCAAATTCATAAAACTTTCAGCTCCTCTGACATATTTTTACTAAAAAAGAAAAAAAAGAGAAAAAAGTGGAAAACATTCTCATGATAGGACTAAGAGCTATAGTGAGAATCACAAAACCAGACTGAAGAGCTTCGTTTTTAAGCCATGGTTCAGTCATAAGTTTCTCTGTTTCTCCATCAATAAGATTACTTATTGCTAATCTCCAGGTCTAGAGCAATAGTAAACACGGTGCTGTCTGAACTTTCCTGAAGATACCACACATTCGATTATCTATCCATAAATATTTCTGATCACCTCTTACACGCAAGGCAATGTGCCTTCTCCTGTGCTAGACATGGTCCTTGTCTTCACAAAGTTTATATTCTAGAACAGGTGACAAACATTTTAAACAAGTATTGTTAAATAAATTATTAAACCTCTACTGCAATAATTTCTAAAAATGTTAAGTATGCGTGTGCTTTAAGAATAAATAACAAAAGGCCCTGACCTAGACTCAGAAAATCCTAAGAAAGTGAGGTATGAGCTGAGATTAAAGTCAAAATAGCACAATAAAATTAATTCTAATATACAGATGAAAATAGCATGAGATTAATTGCAACCTACAGATGCAAACCCTAAATTCATTTCCATCCCCACCCACTCTGAAGTATTACTAATGATTCTGACAAATTTGTACCCTTTTTACTCAGTATTCATTTACCCAATTATGGAAATGGTTGATTTTCAAGAACTTACCTTGTACCTTAAACTCTGTACTACTCTCCTTGTTTTTTCCTTTGCTTTTTTTTTTTAAAAATCTCCTTAGCAGTCTTTTTTAAAAATACTTCCCACTCTTAATAGTGGGTAACTATTCTGCCATCTTCTGATTTCTATGATCATTTCAACAACAGACATCAGTAATCTGCATTCATTGATGTAATTAACTAATGAACATCTATATACCTGTGATTACTATGAAAGCAGGAAATGTTTTTTTCACACTAGTGCCCAACACAGTGCCTGACACATAAAATACATTCATATCTGTTACATGAACATTTGATAGATGACAGAAGTCAAGGAAGATCTTACTCTCAAAAGTTAAGAGTTTCATTTATCCTCAAAAGGTGCAAACATGATCATTACATGGATAACTCCTTATTTTCAATTTAAAATTGTATGTTTCATTTCTATATTGATAACCACTATAATGGAGCTCCAATCATATCACTGGCTCAAAATCTTCAATGCTTTCCCACTGTATACTAAAATGATCCCAAGTTAACTTTCCATTTTCTCCCAGTTCCCTACTCCAAACGTGTTTAATAACATTGTACCACTTAAGCATTCACAGTCTTCTCCCCTAAAGGAGAAATTAATTGTGCACTGAAAACTACGTAAATTCAAAGACTTCTCTTTTTCTACAGAGGGAAAAACAGCATACGAGTTCAAATGACTCCTTCAAGTGAATGCCCATTTCTAAGAAGATTCAATGTATTTTTAGTAAGTTCCTATTTATATGGATATCAAATAACTAGTAACCCCTGTGCCAAAAAGGGTATAAGTAGCATTAAATAAATTACTATCAATTACTCACTTTCAAAAGTAAACATTCCGAAATCACAGAATCAACAGATAAACATATATTTATGTGCGCACACACATATATTAATGTGCTGATGTCCTCAAATATCTAATGCTATTTATAATGATGGCTCTGAGATGGTAAGCTATCCTAAAGTGTCTTTTGTATCACAGCTCCCATCACATCCAACGCAATTTTAGCACCAGATATTTTAATTATTGCCAACCAGAAAATAAATCGAAATTCATGTAAAATATAAACTAGTAGTCTATATTTACCGGAATATTCTCTGTGAAAACCATCTTCCAAACTATTAAACAGGGGTCTATTACCCACCCAACCCCCACAGAAAAGTTCTTACGGTTGTATTCATAATTCCCGTGCCATGTGTTCGAATTGAATTAGCAATATGCCGAATATTAATAGTATTCAAATGCTTGTTATTGCTTGTTCGTTCAATAAAAATCTGCAATGAAACAAATTTATGCTTATAACAACACAACATATAGCAAACACTGGTCAAACAGTTATCTAAAGATAATTTTAGAATCTATTTCATTAAAGAGAATTTAATTGAAAATGCATTCAGGAAGACAGTGAGTATCCTTAATCAGAAAATCTGAAATCCAAATCCTTAATCCAAAAATCTGAAATCCAAAATGGTCCAGTGGGCATTTTCTTTGAGTGTCATGTTAGTGGTCAGAAAGTTTATGATTCTGGAGCATTTCAGATTTTGAATTTTCAGATTAGGAAAGCTGAACTGCTAAGTATTACACAAATGTTCCAAAATCCAAAAAAATCTTAAGTCCAAAACACATCTTGTCACAAACATTTCAAATAAAGGATACTCAAACTGTACAATCAAAGCAAAGAAATAAATAAGGCCCCTAAAACAATTATTTTTTGTTTCCTTTAATTTTCACCCATGAGAATTAATTCCTTGCCCCTCGTCCTTCCCACTGTGCATCCACCCACATTAAAAAAAATTTCTAAACCCTACTCACCTGATTGTTGAGATTATAGAGGTATCGGGACACAAATATATGAATGTTTCTCATAATTTCTAAAACATCAAGTCCCTACAACATAATCCACAGAAAAGTTTTATTATAATTCATTAAAATAATCAGTTAAACTTGTATCCTCATAGTGACTTAACTGATTATATTGTTTCCTAATATTTTTAAGTTATTTTGAAGAACTATATAAAAGGTATTACCAAAGTTTAAAAGACAATCACGACTATCTCCTTAGGGAAACCTGGCTGCTTATTACTTTATCTTTTGCATAGACAGAAACAGTTAAGTTTAAATATTCAAAGATCCATGACCCACAGTCATCTCCCACCAGCCTTGAGAATATTTGTCTCTTCAACAATCTTCTCTACGTTTTTTTCCACAAAGTAAACTAATGGCCAGATTTTAAAAGGTAGTCAGGATATGTTGTGACATTTATAAAATACATAAAATTTTTCAGGTAGTTTGCAAGGTTCCTTATATATAATTCTAAAATATGAGGTATCATTCTTCTAAATTTCACAAGTAACAAAAATGAAACTTAGAAAATTCTCTGAGGCAAAATAGCTATGAAGCAGCAGGACCTTGGGATTTTAGAAAGTCTAATTCCAAATTGTTATGCTTCTTTTGATCACACCACACCACTTTTAAAGTACAAGTTATCTATTAATCTTTCATTCTTCAGATAAAACTCTGAACACCCAATAGTACCATATAAATGGTTCCATAGCCTTTTCTAATTAGGGCTCAAAGTAGCATCACAATACCTTTTTAAGTTTTTATTATAACTTTTATCATATTCTAATCTAAAAAATAGTTTACAATTTTTTCCTCCCACTGAACTGTACATGAGCTGGGACTGTTTCTATTTATCTGTATTCCTAAACAGTTCAGTGAATGAATGAAAGAATATATGAACTAATGCTAGAAATAATCCCTACAAGCAGCAAGATAAAGGGAAAACTAGAATCCTCAAATTTTAGAACTGAATAAATGTTTTTTGGTAAATATTATCTGGATCATCTCAGAAAGAACTCCATGCAAATTATCTTATAACATAAATTATTACATTCATGAGATACTGTCATACTGTACATTAACTAATTGAATTAACAAAACTAAATGTTTTCCTATACTCCTCATCTTAAGAACAAACACATTTGTAAATTTAACCATTTTTCCTAAGATATTAAATTTTATATACTATAACCAGGATTAGAATTCTTAACTGTTCACTTTAATTGAACTTCTTAAAATTCTACAGAAGTCACCTCACTATCCTAGTGTGTTCTGAAAAGCTATACATATATATATATATATATATATATATATATATATATATATATATATCTCAAATGCTCAACAAAAGGCTGAATGTAAGCAGGATGCCAGTGGTAAATTCTTTCATAAAGCAATTTAGCAACATCTAATTTTTTACTGTTGTCAAGCATAAGATTTTACATGGCAAATAATTTCTTAAGAAATAAACACATACTAAATGAAGCAGGAAAAAGAAAAACAAGACTTCCTTAAAAAAATACTATTATGGTCGAGAGTCAGAGTATGCTTAAAAAAAAACATTTTATACTATACCTGTTCCAAAGTCTGACTGGGAAGATGTGCCTCTGTCATAACCAGTCCATAACGCTGAGTAGCTAAGTTTCTCATCTCACTATAAGTGGCCCAGTCATGAAGGGCTACTGTTGTTAAATTGTAGAAAGTCTTGTCTAGGTAGTGAGTTACATACGCTACAAAAAAAAAAAAAAAACTCAATTTATGAAACAGTAGAAAAGGAAGAGAAATGAAACTAAAAAGGAAAAAACAACTTGTCCTTGAACATCAGATTTGTTCCTCTAAAATAAGATATTAAGAAAACAAATGAGAAAAGAAACAGAAAGTAATTAAATAACAATACTACAATATAAAATTTAAACATACCCTCAAAGTTTTGTTTATTTAATAGTATGGCAAAAAAAAAAAAAAATAGAGAATGTGACTCTAAGAATGAAAGCAAAAGACTCACCCCGAATGTTAATGAAACGATTGAAAAACCGAATCGGATTCAGAGAGAAAAAAAGAGCCAGGTCTTTCATGCCAACTTTGAAAGGGTTGCGGTCATCCAGCTTTAAATGAGTATGCACAGAAAGTCGCAGATCCTTCTCTATTTCTTTGCATAATTTATCCAGCAAATGCTATTCACAAAAGATTTGACACTTTAATTTTTCAAAATGATACTGCAATTGTATTGTTACCCTACATGTCTACGCTCCATTTTAAATCAATAGATTTTTTGGTTAGAAGCAGTTACCTAAATTCCGTCTTTATTTTAATTAATGCCTTAAGCTTAATACTCTTGAAAAGAAAATCTAAAACTAATGATTGATGGTGCCATTATAAAAAACATGAATATGCAACTTAAAGCATAAAATTTATGGAAACCAGCAACAAAGGAGGAAAGGTCATGAGGACATGCAAGACAGGAAAGAAAAAAAAAAACGCTTCCTTGTAACAACCATTTAAAAAATTACAAAATTCACTGTGCTAAAGGTAATCAAATTAATCATCTTTTCTGGTCTACCAAGGAGTTCTAAATGACTAGCCAGGCATGTATTTTATTTTCTAAATAAGAATATTTAATACAAGAAATTATAAAAAGTTTTTCACAATTTCATCAAACCCAAGTAGGATTATATTGTAAAATTTCCTCATTTTTAATTCCTCCCTCCTAATAAAAATATTGCTAAATGGAAATTTAATGTTAAACATATCAGTGTTTATAATACATAATTCCTTAAAAAAAAGGAGGAGCATGCATATTGGGTTCAAATTACTTTCATTACACACTAAGTCTTTTAAATAGACAATTTCCTTCTCTTAGGAGCTCTGTAAATAAAATTCAGTAAAATATTAATAGTTAAGTTGCTTTAACTGGACCATCAGCAGGACTCAACATTCAAACCTATTTCACATTTGTATTCTTCTCATAAACAACTTTAAATTAAAGTATCTATTTACAAAAGTAAATCTAAAATTTCCTAATTCCTAGTCTGATTTCTAAATTAGGAATTACAGACCAATTAGCATAACAGTGATACTATAACTAAAAATAGTTCCTTGTTCTACCCAGCAGTATATAAATAATTTTAACTCACTGATAGTTTGCTTCAATCAGACATTTTTTTCAAACCACTATATTCCAAACATGTTTTAAGCTTTTCAATCTCAAATATGATGTTACCTCATTTAAAATTTCCATAATTTCCTTGTCATAGCAATCCAGAAGTATCTCATAGGACGCTAAATGCCTTGCATGCATCATAGCAGGTACACAGTCGCGCAAAGCACTGAACATGTACTAAGAAGAAAATTAAAATGTACATGAATTTAGAGAAACCAAGTCTCTAATCTAAACAATATTACAGAAGTTAATTATCTTGAAAGGCAAAACCTCAATCTGAAGGAAAAGTGATTTTCCACAACCGTCTTAACTAAGAAAAAGAACCTAAAGCATGTAATTTAACTAAATATACCAAAAACACACAATCACTAATCCTTTCCTATCTAGTGCATTCAAATATACTTATTTCCAAAAAGAAAGAAAAAAATCAAATATTTGTTTCTCATTATAATTTGCTGATGAGTAAATGTCAGACTACTAAGACAAACTAAAATTAAGTGAAATGAGAATGATTAAGAACATGAAGAAATTAAATATATTAATGTTAACTTCATTTACAGAAACATAAAATTTAACTACAGGCTATAAACACTGAATATGCAGTTTAGAAAAGTCAATTTTAAAACAGTTTATTAAATTAAATTAAATAATTTATTTTAAACTAAAATGGTTTATAAAGTGACTTTTTAAATGATGGGGTTATTCTTTATACTATTCTTTACTTACATGTAATCTAGCTGCATCAACAGCATTTTCATATACATCATCTAAATAAATTGGGAAGACAGCTCGATGCCAGTATAAAAAACAACAGTCACATTGTGTTTGGACTCTACAATGTAAAACAGTAATCAGTCACATCAAAACTGAAGAATCTCAAAACAATATGAAAGGAGTGACATCTACTACAAGAGTTCTGTCTCACACATTTTGCATTCCCTACATCACTTAACACAACATAATATAGAAAATTCACAAAAGAAATACTATCGAAAAGAAACAAAGGTAACAAACACTCCACCTCACACTGTCAGAATTCTGCACATATGCTTTAGTTGTAAACCATACTTGAAAAATGATATGCATAGTATTCCAATAGAAGAGTTTAAAATAAACTTATTTATTTATCATTTTTGGTTTTGGTAAATAAAAATAAATAAATTCATTTTCAATATTATTTGCTATTACTAGACTTAAATACTTGCATCACATGCTCCATTTTCCCTGACCCTAAATTGGAAAGCAAAAGCTTTAAAAAAAAAAACTGTGACCAAACAAACAAACAAAATCCCACACTTAACATGTCTATAATCTTTGCCAAGTGACTATTTCGCACCTTAGAGGGCAACAGAATGATTATTAAATATCTTATAATGAAGAAGGTTCAATATTTCTTCCAAGAGCAGAAAATTAAATTCCACTAAGAAGAAAAATGTTAGCTTCTCAAAACAAAAAATAAGTTATAAATATGAATACTAAATGGAAATTGTGCTGTAACCTTAATTCGGCTGGAAATAAAAATTCAAAAGACCTGTTTCCCTTCAAGAAATTTACTGCTTACTCAGCAAAAAGAAAACAAGAAAACCAGACGTAGCTATAAAAATAAGCCTTCCAAAAACTAATTCAACAATCTAATTCAAATTCATGTCTGAAAATAAAATTACAGAACACTACATATCATGGATCTCTCTCACACAAATAGATGAACTGTGTTATAAAGCAGTGATTTAAGTCCACTAAAGATACCCAACATAATAATCACAATATGCATCAGAGTCTGCCAGATGCTCTGAGGTTGCACTGCTTTTTCTCATGTGAGGTTTTCTAGGGGCTACATGCTTCCTGTAGAAGCAAAGCTAAATAAATATGATCCCTAGTCACAGTCTCATTTCGGTCACGCTAAAGAAGTTACAAAAAGGAACTAATGCTCTATCTGGATTTTATTTCTTCTCTTGCTATGCTAAAAAGAAAATCAATGTTTCTATTAACCCTGTCTTTAGAGTACTACAGCAGATCGCAGTCCTACTTACCGTTCTCTAAGTTCACTGATAAGATCCAGTTTTTTCATGACTACTTGAAGTGGAAAGAGTTCTTCATCTTTAAATGTTTTCTATCAGGGATGGGGAAAAAAGAGAAGTTGCAGTCAAAGGTTTCTAGGGTCAATAACAAGGGAACTGTGAAATCTCAGATCTCATTTCTGTTCCGTAATAGCAATACCCTTACCATCTGTGTGCCAACACTTAGTGCCAAAGAAACAATAAGTCGCCGTTGCTTTGTGCTTGGTCCATTTAGAGTGTTTTCAGCCAAAACCAGAGCAGAGAGCACATCAAGACGCTGTTCGCTGTATTTTTTGTCAGAAATCACTCTTTTCTTAAAAATAAAGCGGGAAAACTATTCGTTTTGTTTCTGAGGCAGTGACAAAAGACTCAGAAGAAAAACTTCTTATCTTTTCCATGATTCAATTTAAGAGAGCATATACAAATACTTTCCCCGTTGAGCTTCTAATAATATTTTATACTTTACTTATATAATATGATCCCTTAGTACTGTCAGAAACAGCAAATGTATTAGGCATACTTTAATATTTCCATATTAATTTAATAAGAAATCATTTTTTTAAATGATGCATCAATTTCAAAAGTGCAATGTCTTTTTTAAAGAAGTTTATTAATGTATTATATGCTGCAATTTCACAGAAAAGATAATGCCAATTAACTCAAAGTAAAAACTGTAAAATACTATGGAGATAAATAACCAAGCATATTATGTTTGAAGGAATGGAGTAAACAGGTTAAATCAGAAAACATATAAAACTACAGAAGAACAAACAAAAAAGATAACATAATTATACTAAATACATAATAATTTGCATACCTTGGCCACAGAAATAGAATTAAGAGCCTGATGCTGAAGGTGCTGCGTAATATGTGAAACTGAATCAGCCACAACCATGCTTCTCCTGTAGAACATATGCTCTATTGCCTAAAAAAAATCAGAAATAATTTTGTAACAATCAAAACTTTTAGGCAAAATTATAGAAGATCTTTATGGCCTTAGGCTAGGGAAGGGATTTGTAAATGAGATACAAAAAAACGTTACAGGCTGGGCGCGGCAGCTCACGCCTGTAATCCCAGCACTTTGGGAGGCTGAAGCACACAGGTTACAAGGTCACGAGTTCGAGACCAGCCTGGCCAACACAGGGAAATCCCATCTCTCCTAAAAAATAAAAAAAGTAGCAGGGCATGGTGGCATGTACCTGTTGTCCCAGCTACTTGGGAGGCTGAGGCAGGAAAATCACTTGAACCTGGGAGGCAGAGGTTGTGGTGAGCCCAGATGGTGCCACTGTATTCCAGCCTGGGCAACACAGCGAGACTCCATCTCAAAAAACAAAAAATCTTACAAAGTAAATAAAGGGCTGATAAATTCAACTATACTAAAATTAAGAATTTCTGTTCACCAAAAGTCACTACAAAGAAAATAAAAACACAAGCCGATGTATCACAAAATATCCACCAGGTACAAGTGAATGGTGTTCAGGATATAAGAAGACCAAAACAAATGAAAGATTTTATTTTTTAAAGGCACACATCCAATAAAATAAAAAAAATGAAAAGACATGAACAGATTTTTCACAAGAGAAGAAACACAGTTAATAAATAGTTGAAAGGATATTTACCATCACTAACAATCAGGAGTTAAATATTAAAAATCATAATCAAAACTAATTATACTCACAAATTTACCAAAAAAAAAAAAAATGAAGTTCAATAATACTAGTGTTGGCCAATTGGAAATACAATTTTATTTCTAATGTGATTTTCGAATGTATTATGGGAGGCATACACATATATATATGTATATATATTCTGTATCTAGAGAGACAATGTGACATCATCTTGAAAAGCTGCACATATGCATAAGCTACAATCCAGTAAACAACTTTTAGGTATACAATTCCTTAGAAAAACTCTTGCACAAGTACACCAAGAAACACATACAAGAATGGCAGCATTGTTTATGATACAAAACTGGAAATAACCCAGAGTCTAACCACAGGAAAGCTATACAACAATGAAAATGGCGCTAATCATCCTAACATGGATACACTCAAATACAAAATGCTGAGTAAAAAACACAACACTGAATTAAAAAGCTAATCAAAAAATACATAAAATACTACTGCACTAATATAAACTTCAAAAACATACATAACAATGTTTTACAGATTCATCTGTATTTGGTAAGCTAAAAAGAAAAACAAGGAAATAATAAATATTAAATTCAGGACAGTAGTTTCCTCTGAGGTAGATGGGTTGAGATGCAATTAGGAAGAGACATACAGAGTGCTCTGAAAATACTGGTAACATTCTATTTCTTAAGGGGGACAGTGGGTATTTAGGTGTTTATTATTATTTTTAAAACTATGCTTATGTATTACCTATATATTCTAACACACACACAAACACACAAACTCTTCTTTATTTATATTTCATAAAGATAAATCTAACATATAATAATATATCTATTAAACAAATAATATAAAGAAAAATAAATAGCCTTATGTTAACTAACTTCATATGCATGTAAACACTATAATGGATAATGTTAGACAAGTTTTTTTGTTTGTTTGTTTTTGAGTCGGAGTTTCCCTCTTGTCGCCCAGGCTGGCATGCAATGGCGCAATCTTGGCTCATGGCAACTTACACCTCCTGAGTTCAAGCAATTCTCCTGCCTCAGCCTCCTGAGTCGCTGGGATTACAGTCATGTGTCACCATGCCGGCTAATTTTGTATTTTTAGTAGAGAAGAGGTTTCAACGTGTTTGTCAGGCTGGTCTCAAACTCCTGACCTCAGATGATCCATGCACTTCAGCCTCACATAGTGCCGAGATTATAGGTGTGAGCCACCATGCCTGGCGACAAGTGGTTTTTTTTGTTTTTGTTTTTTAACTCATGCAACATTTTTAAAACTTCCATGAGTAAAACTTTTACTAATATTAAAACTAACTTTTCCAATTTCTTTCTTTTCTCATTAACTTTTTTTTTCTTTACTAAGTCTGAACTGGACAGATTAGCTTTATTTAATAAAGTTTAAATATAATAACCACTCTTAAGTAGTTCCTCAGAAATTTCTTTAAATGGGTAGTTCCTTTATTCAGCTGAGAGATAAGTACTTTCTTATAATTTTTTTGTTCTCACATAATCATGTAGTCAAATCTTACAAGATTATCCAAATATAAGCCCGGGTCATTTCTCAGTTATGATGGCAAAGCAGAATAATCTAAAACCTACCTTGAGAAGTTCAACGAGTCTGCACAATGCCTTAACTGAGGTTTTGGTCATTGGCTTTTGCATGGACATGTAGAGATTCATTGTGGTTTTAATAATGGTACTAATACTATATGCATATAAGAAGCCCTGTAAAGAAAAACATCGATTACAATCACAAGGAAAAATTTCTTCAAGATTTCATTATCTATGTAACAGATGTTATTCCTCAATTTACCAATAACGTATGTTTCTAAAGTTCATTTTAAAGCCAACTCTTAAGATTTGGAAATACTCTTCCTCACAGAGACAGTGTTACACATGGTGGTTAAGTTTCAAAGCAGCCCTTAACCATTTATTTATTCTGTACTGTCCAAATAATACCAGAAGTTTACTACCGTCAAAATAATAGTGTATACTCAAAGTTTAAGAATCTTTCCCTTAAAAAAGCTTTGAGTGGAACAATTGGAGGTTAGAAGGGTATCTATTCATCCTTATCTTACCTGCCAAGGAAGAGAATAAAGACTCCTATCTGTTGCCACTTACGGCAAGAGCTGAGGACTCTAAGGAGTTACAAATTGAAAAATAAGGAGAAAGATACCTGCTCCATAGTCAATACAGATATGCACAGAAATTTCTGAGTTCCAAGCCAACTCCCCCTTTCCTCTTCACCTAGACCAATAACCACCGTCCATCTGCTATCTTGTCCTTGCCTAGTTTGGTGCTAATTAGGCTTTCTCTCCTTCCGACCCAATGAGAACAGATTCTCCCCTCCCTTTCTATTCATGATGAAAGCCAGGTCTTGTGAGGTGTTAAAAATCTTTTAATGGTATTAAACTCAGGAAAACAGTGGAATAAGAAAACAGGAAAAATGGGATATTACATTTCAAATATATTTTCATTTAAAAAAGGGACACACAGAAAGACAAAGATAATGATGGAGATACTTTGGGTCTATAAAGGTCCCAAAAGAGACATATGTACAGTTTAGGAATAAACCTTAACAATGTTATCACAGATACATTCAACGAGGTAGGTTAGAAGCTATATGCCAGTGTTCCTCAACCTTTTCCTCCTGTCCCACCACATGTGAAAGTATTCTCCCATCAGAAACGGCAGCTCACTAAAGGAATGATACTGAGTATAAAGCAGGAGTTCCTCTGAACCACTCAGAAAGTTTCTCTGTGGCGAAGAGACATGCTAAATTAAGAAAATGAAAAAATCAAAGACAGGATAGCACCCTAAGAAAGGTGACAGTAAGACCAAACCTTGGCACATGCATGCAGTAAGAGCCACAAGTTTTACCTTGTTGGCTACAGGACTATTACATCAAACCCTACCCTGGTGCAGCCCCAGGAAAAATTAAAAAGCACAAATAAGGAAAGCAAAAATCTAACTCTAAGGCAGAAAAGGGAGGCTTCCCTTCGTTAGGGGGTCTTGAATTCAGTACAGAACTCCAGGGCCCATATTACCTCATTCCTAGATAGCCATTAATTTGTGTTGAAATCTAAATTGTGAGGGAGAGGGTAGTCTGGACTCTATATCAGTTAACGATAGAATAAATAAATTAGACCAGCCTTCCCACTGAGAACAACTACAAAACCTGAGCAAAACGGTTTTAAAATGCCTCACAGGGTATCAAAGAGGATTCAAAAAAATAAGAAAATAAAAGGCCAAGATCTGGAAGAAGACAGAAACTTAGAGTAAGTAAGCCTGGCATGGGGTTGCTTTCTCTTAGAGCATCTGCCTTAAAGACAAAAGCCAAACCTATCTCTCAATACCATCTCACAGAGAAGGGAGATTAAAAATAGGAGCTCGAGGCTCATCAAGGAGGTTAGCATCTAAGTTAGCATCCTGAAGGATTACCCACCAAAAAATAAGAGTGAATTCAACAACCACCACAGGATCAAAATCCTGCTTCAAATCATCTTGATCTCTGACTAGAGTGATGTAACCTGGGTTGCTAACTGTCCAAGACTAGCTTGTACAAAAGCAAATACAAATCCCTTCTGGAGGGAGAAAATATCCAGATCCTCAAATTACATCAACAGCTTTTCATATACAATATGTGTCATTCTATAAAAAATAACCAGGTAAGCTGGGCGTGGTGGCTCTTACCTGTAATCCCAGCACTTTGGGAAGCCAAGGCAGGAGGATCATGAGGTCAGGAATTTGAGACCGGCCTGACCAACATGGTGAAACCCTGTCTCTATTAAAAATACAAAAATTAGCCAGGTGTGGTGGCACATGCCTCTAATCCCAGCTACTCGGGAGGCTGAGGCAGGAGAATCACTTGAACCCGGGAGGCAGAGGTTGCAGTGAGCCGAAATCATACTACTGCACTCCAGCCTGGGCAACAGTGCAAGACTCCATCTCAAAAAAAGAAAAAAAAAACAAAACGGGTACATCAAGAGGTAAGAGAGGTACAAAAACAAAAGAAACAACAAATAAGAGAGATATCCAAATAATGAAATTATTAGACATGTGCTTCAAAATAATTAAGCTGAATGTGTTAAAGGAAATCAAACACAAAATCAAGTATCTCAGAAGAGAACTGTAAACTATAAAAAAGAAGCCAACTGAAAAGTAAAATTACTAAAATTTAAAACTCAGTAGATCAAGTTAACAGCAGATTAGAGATAGATGAAGACAGAATTAGAACAGAGAAAACAGGAAAGAAGTAATGCTTGAAGAGTTAATGGTAAAGAATCTTCCATGAATTCAAGAAGCTCTACTGATCCCAAAGTATCACAAGCACACAAAGAAAAACCACACCTAGGGGCATTGCAGTAAAACTGCTAAACACCAAAAAGTAAGGAAAGATACATATTTTAAAAGCAACAACCTCCAGTTGACTTCTTAACAAAAACAAAGCAAACCAGGAAACAATAAAATGATACCTTTAAAAGCTAGAAGGAAAAAAAAAACTCCTACCAACCTAGAATTTTAATGCAGGAAAATGATTGAAATGAAGACATATTCAGACCAAAAAAGTGATTACAATTCCTCAACAGAGACTTGTATAAATGAAATACTAGCAGGTATTCTCCAAGTAGAAAGATGAAAATTAAGAGATGTAGGAAGAGTAAAAAGCGACAGAACAGGTTGCTTTTACTCTAAATGTAAAAATGTAAAAATGTCTAGAGTAACCGCTAAAAGAATAGTAAAATAACACAGAAATAACAAACTAATAGGATGAGAAATACAACAAAAAATACACCAAAAGAAAAAGGACACAGAACAAGTAAGACAAATACAAAGCAACTAGTCAGGTGGTAGTTTAAAACCAAATATATCAACAATGACATACAGAAAAAATGGTACAATTTTAAAAAATGAAGATTATCAGATGGGAGAAAAAATATACGCTACTTACAGAAGACATGCATTAAATATAAGGAGCCAGAAAGGCCAAAAGTAAAAGGATCAAAAAAGATAATACCAAGTAGACATTAATTAAAAGAAAATGGTTATAGTTAGTATCACACAAGAGAGACCTACAACAAAAAGCATCACTAGAGATAACAAGGGATGTTTCTTAACAAGAAAAGGTCCAATTTACTAGGAAGACAGAACATTACTAAACATTGTAAACTTAGCCTCAAAATACATAAAACAAAACTAGGATAAACAGAACAAGGATAAACAGAAAAATCCACAATAGTGGGAGATTCTAACACGACTCTCAGTCACTGACATACACAGACAAATCATTAATAAATATGACCTTCTTGTCATACACAAAATGCTACAACTGACAAATACAAATTATACATTCTTTTCAAGTGTACGTGAAATGTTTACCAAAGCTGACCATAGGCTAGGCAATAAAGCAAATTTCAAAATACTAAAATTATTTAACTATTGCTACAACTCAGTAATAAAATAACTAGAAAATCCTCATATATTTCAAAATTAAGAAATCTTTCAAAAAACCCACGAAGAAGTTATAATGAAAATTTTAAAACAGTTTAAAATAAATAATAAAAATAAACATATCAACTTATAGGATACAGCTAAATAGTCGTTTTCAAGGACTGTAGAGTTTTAAATGGGTTGTTAGAAAATTTAAATTAATAAGTCAGATAACCAAATCAATTTGTTTTAAAAACAAAAACATACTCTATCCTTTTTCAGTTTTTTCAAAGTTTAACTTCTGTAAGTCAGATTAACAACCAAAGATTCCCCAAAGTATTGTAAGATGCAACTACCTGTATAAAAACATTACATCTGTTGGTGAGATCCTCAGCAAATTTATCCATTCTCTGCTCTTTAGATAAAATAGATTCCATTTTCATCATCCATGAGCTCACAAAGACGTAGTAAGACTGTACATCTCTAACAATGAAAAAGATTGGGATTACTCAGCAAAGAAAATTTACTTCCATTTCTTGATATTGATTGGCATACATTATTTCCCTGCAGTAGCCATTTCATCTCTTGGTTTTCAAAAAGATAGGTATCATATTAAACATATATAATTTACTCATTCAACAAACAGGCCAGGCACTGTTTCTGAGAACGAAACAGTGAAATCAGCAGTAAATAAAATGAATAAAAATCCCTGCCCCCATGATGCTTACATTCTAGAAAGGAGAGCTGTATAACAAAGAAATCAGTAAGTAAAATTTTTAATTAATTAAAAGATACACACTACAGGAGAAGTAAAAGGGAAAAAAGGATAAGGATAAGGACTGGGGTAGAGGTACAATTTTACATAGAGTGATCAAAGTAGGCTCATTGAGTAGGTGATTTTGAGCCAAAGTTTGAAGCAAATGAACAAGTAATTCATGCAAATACACGAGAAGTGCAGAAAAGTGAATGACAAACGCAAAATCCTAAGACATAGGGAAATGTGTCTAGCTTGTTCAGATAACAACAAAAAAGTCAGTACACCTGGGGCACAGTGAGCAGAAGGATTAGATCAGCAAGATACAGAGGGAAGGGGTGGGAGAGTAGAAAGGTGGGATGATGGGGAAGGGATTTGTGGAAGGCCTTGCAAGGAGTAGGGATTTTGACTCTGAGAAAGAAAGCCACTAGAGGGACTAAGCAAAGTAACCTGATCTAACTTTGGTTTTAAGAGGATCTGATGAGTTGAAAATAAACTACAGAAGGGGCAATGGTAAAAGCAGGAAAACCATCTAGAAAGCTACTATAATGCAGAAAGAAGAAGGAATATGACAGCTTGAACCAGAATAAGGACAGTGGAAGTGGTCAGAAATCTGAATATAAAAGCTAATAATTATTGAATGCTTACAACAGCTACTGTTCCAAGCACTTTACACACACACATACATATACAAACCACCTCTTTCAACCCTCACATTAACCTTATGAGGTAGGTACTACAACCTCCACACAGAAGAAACTGCTACACAGAGAAGTTAAGTAGGCACCAAGATCATAAGCTCAGACAAGATTCAAGCTCACATCCAGGAAGTTTTCACATCCAGGAAGTTTTCCCATCCCAGAAGACAAGAGCAATGCAAAATGTAGTTCTCTCAACTATTCAGGAGGATTACAAATACTAAATTACTCCATCAATGTTTCCCAATTCAAGCTCATTCAAGATGGGAACCTCTTTACATTCACAAACTGTTTATACTTTTTCTTTAAAAAACTTAGTATGTGGCCAAGCGTGGTGGCTCACGCTTATAATCCCACCACTCTGAGAGGCCCAGGTGGGGCAGCCTGCCTGAGGTCAGGAGTTCGTGACCAGTCTGGCCAACATGGTGAAATTTGAAAAATTAGCCTGGTATGGTGGCACACGCCTATAGTCCCAGCTACTCTGGAGGCCAAGGCAGGAGAATTGCTTAAACCCAGGAGGTAGAGGAGGTTGCAGTGAGCTGAGATCACGCCACTGCACTCCAGCCTGGGTGACAGAGAGAGACCAAAAAAAAAATAAAATAAAAACTTAGTATGCAAAAATGGACATTTCCCCTTTATGGAATCCAGTATTACCAACTCTTTTTTTTTTTTTTTTTTTTTTTTTTTTATCTTTTTTAGTTATATAGGGTAAAGAAATGTCCTATTCTTACAGGTCAGAATTAGCTAGAGGATAGCTCTTCAGGGCAAAGGACTGAAGACACTCAATTAAGTTCAGAATTCCACACTGAAGTCAGTGGCTAGCCATATTGCTGGCAATCTGTCAATGTGAAGAACTCAATCTAATGAGGGATCCTGTCATAATCTCTAATAAATGTGACTTATGGAGGGGAAACTCTAGCACAAAATCTGAGAAAAATTGTTTCTACAAAGCCATAATTCCATTAGACAAAAAAACACAGATAGTTGTACTTCGTGGCTTTGCTTCAAATGGTGCTGAAACATATTGTTTGACTCACAAATGATTCCTTTTTTAAAAGTCTGGTCCTTTTTTAAAAACAGAGAGCACAGTCCTAGAGCAATGTCTCCACTTTTGACGAGGCGGTATGATCAAGACTAAGTAGGAATCCCATATACAGGACAGAAAAGTCAAGAGCAAGGACCAGAGAAAGAGACCTAGACTAGACTATGGAACTCTTGCTGATAAGCAACTATGTCAATAACACTATGAAGAAGGCAATAATACACAGTGAATGGCATTCAGCCAACTTTAGGTAAGACTATAGGATAATGCAGAGGTTTATATGTCACTTCTGCCCATCACTGTGATCACATCCAAATGACAATCTTTATCTCTTATAAATGCATAAAAATGAAATTGCTTCAAGTTTTAAAAAGTACGTTAACTAACAAAGAGTACAAAAATGGTCAAGTGTCCTATTGGATTGTCAGTTTCATTTCAAAGTACAAACAGGAAAAACACCAAGGTTAAAAAACAAATCTCCAAGCCGGGCACAGTGATTCACACCTATAATACCAGCACTTTGGGAGACCGAGGCAGGCGGATCACCTTCAGGAGTTCAAGACCAGCCTGACCAACATGGAGAAACCATGTTGGTCTCTACTAAAAATACAAAATTAGCCAGGTGTGGTGGCACATGCTTGTAATCCAAGCTACCCAGAAAGCTGAGGCAGGAGAATCGCTTGAACCCAGGAGGCGGAGGTTGCGGTGAGCTGAGATGGAGCCATTACACTCCAGCCTAGGCAGCAAGAGCAAAACTCTGTCTCAAAAAAAGAAAACAAAACAAACAAATCTCCTGCCCTAACATAAAGCATTAAACACTGTGAATGCCTGCATGTCAACATGGGAGTCTGAAACAAAGATTCAGACCTCTATCCTGTAAAGGCAGTATTTTCCATTGTTAAAACAGTTGTGAATCAAAAGCAAAATGCAGCAATCCACAAACCTTGGACTCTAGTCAACGAGGCAGGTGGGACACTGGCCACTTGCGATCTGGTGTATAGTGTGGGGGCAGAAAACTCTTGCTCATTTGCTCTCTATTGGTCCCTCTTTACTCATGTAAACTATGAAGCCTGATCTTGGGACACCTCTTAGGCACCCCCTCAACTTTCTCTAAAATGTCAGGACAAAGCCCATGCTGATCACATCATCACTCTCCTGAGTTTCACTTTAGTGGAGTGAATTTTAGGTTTCTTTGACATAATTGCAAAAAGACTGAAAAAGATAACTGTGCCCTTCAGCTCCATGGAGGTCTAGAGTAAAGAATTTAGCAACAAAATTTTATCATGCAAGAAGTCTTTGAAAGTCAACTTATTCAACTGTCCACCTAATAAGACTCACTTCCCACAGATCTTGTACTGACAGTCATCTATATTCTGCCCACACAGCTTTAGTGAAGAAGACCACATTACCTCAGAGCAGCCCACACAATGCTACCTGCTGCAGAGGCACTAGAACAGGACTGGCACTGGTTTGAATGCCCTCACTGACATGGACTTAGCTGTGTGACCTGGCAAAGTTCATTTCTCTAAACCTCATTTTCTTTATCTACAAATGGGATAAAAATAGTTTACAGTAGCAGTTAACAGCCTGGGATGCAGAGTTGGACTGCCTGCATCTGCCACCTACTACCTACTAGTTGTTTAAACTTGGGCAAGTTTAATCTCTTTGTAGGATTTTCTCATCTATAAAATGGCAATAATAACAGTATCTACGTCACACAATTTTCTGATCATTAAAGGAAATGATATGTGTGAATATCATCTCCTTTAATGATCAGAAAATTGTATGACGTTCCTGGAATAGCTACTGGCTTATGGTAAGCACACCATAAACATTAGTTGTTACCTTTATTATTTTCTGCCGGAAGGCTGTTACACGCTTTACCCAAGAAAATATATTTAAAGCCATTAGCATAATGTCTGCCACAGAGTTAAGAGATTCATAATGTTGGCAATTATTTTTATATTATTATTTTTTATTACTATCTGTCATCTTCATCTTTTGGTTTTAGTTTAGCCTGCTGGAGCCACAGAGATCGAATCTGTTCCCTTTTCATTCTGAATGCCCCTCAGATATTTAAAGAAACCCACTACATCATTCCACAGATTTCTCTTTCAAAGGCCAAGCTCTACAGACACAAAGAAAGAGAAGATAAACAAAAAGGCATGATTCTCAGACCTTCTGACATCCTGATCAGCTTCATCTAGGGATGCTGCAGTTTGTGACCCTCTCAAAACATGGCAACCACCAAACACCAGCTATGATCTGACCAATAAGAATTCCACGGAATATACCTGGGTTATTAAATAATCTATACAACAAACCCCCATGACACACATTTACCTATGTAACAAGCCTGCACTTTATCCTGAACTTAAAAGTTTAAAAATATAAAATAAAGGCCGGGCGCGGTGGCTCAAGCCTGTAATCCCAGCACTTTGGGAGGCCAAGGCGGGTGGATCACCAGGTCAAGAGATCAAGACCGTCCTGGTCAATATGGTGAAACCCCGTCTCTACTAAAAATACAAAAAAAAGTAGCTGGGCATGGTGGCACATGCCTGTAATCCGAACTACTCAGGAGGCTGAGGCAGGAGAATTGCCTGAACCCAGGAGGCGGAGGTTGTGGTGAGCCGAGATTGCGCCATTGCACTCCAGCCTGGGTAACAAGAGCGAAACTCCGTCTAAAAAAAAAAAAAAAAAAAAAAAAAAAAAAAAAAAAAAATATATATATATATATATATATATATATATATAAAATAAAAAATAAAATTTTAAAGAGGCCAGGTGTGGTGGCTCATGCCTGTAATCCCAGCACTTTGGGAGGCCAAGGTGGACAAATCACCTGAGGTCAGGAGTTCGAGAACAGCCTGGCCAACATAGTGAAATCCTGTCTCTGCTACAAATACAAAAATTAGCCGGGCATGGTGGTAGGCACCTGTTGTCCCAGCTACTCGGGAGGCTGAGGCAGGGGAATCACTTGGGAGAGGCAGAGGTTACAGTGAGCCAAGATCATACCACTGCATCCAGCCTGGGAGACAGAGCAACACATGGTCTCAAAAATAAATAAATACATAAATAAAAAGAATTCAATGGAACTACCAATTCCCATGACCTTGATACATGATGAGTAACTCTCATCCGAAATGGTTGGAACCAGAAGCATTTCAGATCTTGGAATGTTTGCATTATATACTTGCCAGGTCAGCGTCCTCAATCCGAAATCCAAAACGCTCCAACAAGCCTTTCTGTTGGGCATTATGATGGCACTCAAAAAGTTTCCAATTCTGGAGCATTTCAGTTAGGGACACTCAACCTGTACTGTAACTAACTAGTTTCCACAACCTAGGTATTACAGATATTAATGTAATCTAAGTATGTACTGCATTTTTAGTAACTGCATCACGTTGTTACAAAATACCAAGATTCTAAGAACTAAAATATCCACATTTTTCCCTCTTACTGCTACTGAAATGGAAAAACAGATCTCTCTCTTGCTATCTTCTATTACTTAATTCAGCTCTTTAATCTAAATCTAAACATTTGTTTTTATTCCTCTTCAACCCTTGATTTAGGATATCTAATACAGCTCTGAAATGAACAGACCTGCCTAAACTGGTTGTAGTTTTCCATTTTAATCAGAGGACATGACAGTACTAAAAATGCTTTGAGGGCTCTCCTATATTCCAGACATGCTCTTCCTTCCCCCAATGTAGAGTAGTGACCCAACTTCCCTATGATAATCAAAATCAACAGAAAGTAGATAAGTATCCCCATTACATCTTTAGCCATATCACAAACAAAAATCACCAGCATGGGGCCTGTGGCAGAATCCTACATCATTTCACTCAAAATCTTTATCCAAGTTAACATGTGATTTTAGCCGTGTACTCAAGAAAGAATGTGCAATAAATTAATTGTTGAAGCTCAGTGATGAGAACATAGGGGCTCTTGATACTGTTTTCTCTACTTTCTGCATGTTTGAAATTTACACAATAAGAGGTAAACAAAAAATAATGTAAGTATCAGAAGAAACAAAGAGTTAAAAATGTTCCTTTGGAGAGCAATACAATAAGGAATTGGGAAGAGGACAATTATCTTTCCCTTTAAGCTTTAGTACTTTTTGATGTTTTATATACATGCATATATTATATTCATAAAAATAAAAATAAACGGGGGGAAAGGAAGCACATCAAGAAAAAGTCAACCCCTCATAAAACCACCATGGACACACAATGTTTTTATTGTCATCAAATGATACCTACTGCAAGGAAATCAGAGACGTCACTTCATTTAAGCAAAAAATATTTAACACAGATGATAAAAACTATGTACACATTTGTACCCATAAAGTATAATCTGTCTACCTCTTAAATTGACTTTAAGCATAAAATATTTTTTACAAAAAACTTCTAGAAAACAAATCTCCTAGAGATTGCCTGACCCTTAATTAAGTACATTTAATCTCATAATTTAAATGGTACTATACATTTAGAGCCAGTATAAAATACAGAGAATAAGTATTTTCATTATACTTGTTTAGAAAACCTACTTGGTAAGTGATTGAGCTTTCTGCTGTAGAAAAGTATCCCTGTGTATTTTAATGGCTTGAAGACTTTTTCTGTCTAAAAGTTTGGCAGCCGCTGGTATTTTCTGGATCAGAAAATTATCAGGAAACCAAATAATATTAGCAGTTAGAGTGATAGCTGGTACCTGAAACAGAAAAGGAAAAGGGGGAAAAAATAATTAAATGCAGGCTAAACAATAAGCTGTTTGAAAGTTCTATAATACACACGGAAGACAATTCATTTAGAAAAAAATAACCACAAAAATATTTATTATTATATTATGAGACAAATATCTTTAACTGTGGCAGAGTTAAGTTATTTCTACATCTGGTGTTGAGCATGACAATTTTATTTGCTGGAATATTAAATAACATACACACAAAACACTCTCTCATGGATTTTCAGATAAACAAAAATGTGACAAGTAAATAGAAACTTGAATCTTTGTGTCCTTTAGTTTCATTCTACGTAAGTTTTTAAAAAGTTGGTTGGGTTCTCATAGTTACTATCATTTGATGTTACACACAAACTAATCTTTCAATTTTGAAATCAGGTGCCACATGAAAATAGCAAAGACGGCCAGGCACAGTGGCTTATGCCTGGAATCCCAGCACTTTGGGAGGCCAAGGCAGGCAGATCACAAGGTAAGGAGATTGAGACCATCATAGCCAACACGGTGAAACTCTATCTCTACTAAAAAACACACACACAAAAAAGGAGCCAGGCATGATGGCACATGCCTGTAGTCCAAGCTACTCAGGAGGCTGAGGCAGGGGAATCACTTGAACCCAGGCAGCAGAGGATGAGCCGAGATTGTGCCACTGCACTACAGCCTAGGAGACAGAGAAAGACTCCGTCTAAAAAAAAAATAAAATAAAATAGTAAAGACATAGAAAGAAATATATAAATTTTTTCTTCTTCAGTAATGAAAATCAGTGGCAAAGAGAAGGAAAAGCAAAAATGTAAAAAAAAAAAAAAAAAAAAAAAAAAAAAAAAAGTAGTATTAGTAGTACCAAAAGAAAGTTAATGTACAGAAAAAAAATCTGAACACCCTCTACCAATATGTATTAATATGATGTGGAAATATGGTATGTTTTCATTCACTAAGTTACTTATTTCTGGAATACTTGAATTTTAAAAGTGAATAATATTAAATTATTTTTGTAAACAAGAATAAAATGCATTTTTAAATATCTAGTTTTATCTGCAATCTTTTCAACTACTCAAATTGAAAAATGAGTTTTAAGTTCTTACCTTCTTACAAATATCCAATAAAGACTTATAAAACTTTTTATCAATAGTTCGAAAAATCTGAAAGTGCAATACAAAGAGTCCACAAATTCCAACATATTTGTCTCTCTGGTCAATTTCAGAAGGTTCTCCTTACAAATCAATAACAAGAGAGAAAGCAGAACAAACACACTTCAATTATGCTTTTAAGGAAGTGCAAATTTTATAAACCAAAACCAAAAATTGCAATTTACATTACCAAGTTTGGCTTCTACGTTTGCAAAAATTGACCGAATACTATGTGCAAATTCCTCAGCAAAAGTGCTATTTTTTGACACAGATACTCCTCCATTGAGAGAATCAAATTGTTGTTCTATACAGGCCTAGACAGGAAACATTTAAAGAGAAATTCAGACTCTCAATAATAAACTTCTAAATATTTAAATATAGTGTATGATAAACTTCTATATTCATCATTTAAATTTTACTAAAACTAAAGCTCAGGTTCTTAATCTAATATTTAGATCTGTTTTAATCAAAAATATATATGTATTTATATTGAGTACTAGTTATGTGAAAGTAATAAAATTGAACCCAAATCTATAATCCTGTATGAAGAGATACACACAATGTTCAGACATGTATAGAAGATAAAGCATATTTTTATTTTACTTTGCACTTTTAAGAGTTTATGTTTTCTGTTTATAATTACTTTCCTAGCACTTTATTACAGAGTATATAGAAATGTCTCCTGGAAAAAGAATCAATAGCAAAAAAATTATCTTCTTAACATATTGACCTAATATTTAAATTGATATACAGTGGACTCTTGAATAACATAAGGTTAGGGGCACTGACCCCCATGTGGTCAAAGATCTTCATATAACTTCTGACTACCCAAAAACTTAACCAGTAATAGCATACTGCAGACCAAAAGCCTTGCAGATAACATAAAACATGAAGTCAATTAACACATAAATACACTAGTAACTGCATATGTTTTATGCATTCATGACATACCTTTTTCTTAAGTTTTCTTAATGTTTCTAGGCTATGCTGTTAGTCTACAAGTTTCTTTCAAAATGTTGCTAACATTCAAAAAATTTTCTAATACATTTATGGAAACAATCTGTGTATAAGACCCGTGCACACTTCAAACTCATATTGTTCAAAGGGTCAACGGTAAACAATTGGAATCAATCAGTTAAAAACTGTGATCATGTAAAATATAAACTAAAGGTAACCTTGAAGTATATTATAAATGGAATATAATGCAATTTCCAGTGGAAACTGCTCAAAGCAGTACTGCCCAACAGAACTTTCTATGATGATGAAAATATTCTATATCTGTGCTGTCTGATATGATGGCTAGCCATGAACCACATGTGGCTGTTAAGGACTTGAAACGTGGCCAGTGTGACTAAGAAAATCAATTTTGTATTTCATTTTAATTTATTTACATTTAAATAGCCACATGTAGTTAGAAGCTGCCATACTGGACTGTGTAAACCCAAATTATATTCCCTGAGCCTAGGAAGAATTAAGCAAACTTGTTAAAGGTTGTCTTAAAAACCTAAACATAGAGGTTAACAGCAAATGCAATACAAGTACACCTAACAGAAACCACAGATTCAGTTCCTGATCAGTGCAATAAAGTGAGTGACACAAATTTTTTGGTTTTCCAGTACATATAAAAGTTATATTTACATTATACTATAGTCTATCCCCAAACTACAGCCCGTGGGCCGCATGCGGTCCCCTGAGGCCATTTATCCAGCCCCCTGCCACACTTCAGGAAGGGGCACCTTTTTCATTGGTGGTCAGTGAGAGGAGCACAGTATGTGGCGGCCCTCCAACGGTCTGAGGGACAGTGAACTGGCCCCCTGTGTAAAAAGTTTGGGGACGCCTGGTCTATTAAGTATGCAATAGCATTATGTCTAAAAAAAGGTACGTAAGTTTCAAAATACTTTATTGCTAAAAATGCTAATAAGAGCTGAGCCTTCAGTGAGCTATCATCTTTTTGCTGGCCGAGGGTCTCACCTCAATGTTGATATGCTGTCATCAGGCTTTATTGTTCCATTTATAGAGAAGAGGCAGAGCAGATTTAAGGGCCCTAAGATTTTCAGAATGGCAAATGGGCGCTGGCTTTTCCTCTACTGAAGTCATAGATGGCATATAATATTCAACAGAAGGCTGTTCCATCCACACTAATCTGTCGCTTAGTGTGGCCACTCCTATCAGTGATCTTACTAGATCTTCTGGACAACTTACTGTGGCTTTTACATGAGCTCTTGCTGGTTTTGCACTTTTATGTTACGGAGACAGCTTCTTTGCTTAAACCTCATGAACCAACCTATGCTAGCTTCAAATTTTTCTTCTGCAGCTTCCTCACCTCTCTCAGACTTCAGAGAATTAAAAAGAGTTAGGGCCTTGCTCTGAAATCGGCTTTGGCTTAAACTAATATTGTGGCTGGTTTGATTTTCAATTCAGTCCAACAAAACTTTCTCCATATGAGCAGTAATGCAGTTTCACTTTCTTATCATATGTGTGAACTCACAGCACTTTTAATTTCCTTCAAAACTTTTCCTTTTCATTCACACATTGGCTAACTGTTCAGAGCAAGAGGCCTAACTTTTGGCCTATCTCTGCTCCCCCACCTTCAAGACACAGTCTCACTCTTGTCGCCCAGGCTGGAGTGCAGTGGCATGATCTCAGCTCACAGCAACCTCCACCTCCCAGGTTCAAGCGATTCTCCTGTCTCAGCTTCCCGAGTAGCTGGGATTACAGGCACCTGCCACCAAGCCTTGCTAGTTTTTGTATTTTTAGTAGAGACAGGGTTTCACCACATTGGCCAGGCTGGTCTCAAACACTTGACCTCAGGTGATCTGCCCACTCAGCCTCCCAAAGTGCTGGGATTACAGGCATGAGCCACCATGCCCAGCCCTATCTCTGCTTTTGATGTGACTTCCTCGCTAAGCTTAATCATGTCTAGCTTTTGATTAAGAAATATGAAACTCCTCTTTTTATTTGAACACTTAGAGGCCACTGTAGGGCTATTAATTGAACTAATTTCAATATGGTTGTGTCTCACGGAACAAAAAGGCATGAAGAGAGAGAAAGACAGGACAAGCACCAGCCAGTTGATAAAGCAGTCAGAACAAACACAACATTTATCAATTAAATTCATAATCTTATGGGGCACTATTTTTGTAGCACCAGACAGCAATTACAACAGTAACGTCAGAAACCACTGATCACCATAACAGCTATAATAATAAAGTTTAAAATATTGCAAGAATTACCAAAATGTGACACAAGAGAAAAAGTGAATACATGCTGTTGGAAAAATGACGACGAAAGACTTGCTTGATGCAGGGTTGCCACAAAACTTTAATTTGTAGAAAATGTAATTACCTGGGAAGTGCAATAAAGTGAAATGTAATAAAACAAGATATGCCTGTACTTAACCACTCAGACTAGATGTTAATCCTCAAGTGTTTTTATCCATCTACATAATTTTTCTAAAACTCTTACTCTAGATACAACTAATACACTATTAATTTGGTTTGCTACTAGATGCTGAAATATTTTAGTATTCTAGCAATAATTTTAAGCCAAAGCACTGTTTAAGGAAAAATATATTCAACAGTGTCTTACTATAATTCTGAGCTGTGACATCTAATATGAGCCCAATTGTTACAGCCTGATACGGACCTACTTACCTGGAATATCATTCCATCCAGTAACTGCCCTTCTAGCTTCAGCAAGAACTTTTCAAATGGCTTTAGTTTTTCTTCTGGAATTCCAAATTTTGAAGGATTATGATGGACAGATTTCAGTAACCTTGCAGACAATTAAGAGAAAGATCTTAAATCTACCTAATAAATTCTTAAATTAAAAAACATTTTCCCGGAAGTAAAAATGTTATTACTTATATTTCTTGTTTGGCTCTACATATTTGAAAACTTGAACAGAACAATCCTAATAGATTTTCTTATGCTTTTTGATATCATCTTAAATCAAAATGCCTCATACTCTGTACATACCAAATATTTAGTAAGTACTTATAACGTGAATAAAATAAACCACCATGGTCTAAAAAAAAAATCAGTATGTATAATAAAATAAAACCAAGCTCAGGAAAGAAAAACTGTCACCTGAATAGAACCCAAGGAAAAAAATAAATCTGAGTCCTAAGCTAGGTAAATTAACCATCTACTACTGTAAGAATTAGGATGCTTTATACAAGTGTATTATACTCACCTCAACAAACTCATGTGAAATTAAAGAATGGTTAATGTATTCATGAAAACATTTGATATAAGCTCCTTCTAAATATCAATCCCCAGGTCTTTTAGAAATCTGTATTTTTTATATTTGTTTACTTTTTACTAACACTAACAAATACATTAACCAAAGTAAGAGAATATTTTAAAATATTTTAATTGGCATACCTTTTGTACATAGTCCAGTGGTCTTTCAGTGTGATATGATTATCAATAATTTCATCCAGGGTGAGCAAAACTGTTAGCAGTTCTCCCAAGTGCTCATACATAGTCTGTCAAAAAACCTTTAATGATTATCATTTAGTCACTAGTTAGAAGTTAAGCCTCACGTAGACTTTTAAAGTAAAATTATTTGGGCTAACTACTGAATTAGTAAAAGCAGTGGGTAAATCAGTTTATTAAGCTACAGGGTAGATCCTCAGAAAGGACTATCAGTCTTTTAGTCTTAAATAGAGAAAACTTTTCTCCTTTTAAGTTGAACAAAATTTCATCCTTAATTGCAATACTGCGGATTTATTTCACTGTCCAAAGAGATCAATTAGAGAATCTGCATTAGGGCATTCCTGAGAAAAACTAAGTTACACTGATAATGGTCAGTAATGCTGCCTCAACTTCACAGATAAAAGAGAACAAATGCAAACACAGACACAGACACACACACACACACACACACACACACACACACACACACCCCTGTAAGAGTATTGCTGTGACTGTCATACTCTCCAACCATATATAGTAAAAAATTACAGTTTTGTAAGTCAAGCTAAATGTCTTTACCTGAAAATGAACTCCAGTTGTCTCTATAATTTTGGGTGCAATCCTATAATAAAATAACAACCAAGTTAAAAAAAAAAACTTTCCTTTTTGTCACAGTTTATTCTTCTTTCAAATACACACAGGAGGAGATCATCTTGGAATGTTAATATTTACCTTTATTAAGGCTCTAGTCATTTAAAATTTAAGAATGTCACGTCCACTTTCCCAAGAAGAGAACTACCTTGTGCATACTATTAGGGTGGTGCAAAAGTAACTGTGATATAAAAACAGCACTAACTTTTGCACCAACCTAATAGTATTATTTCCTATATCCCATTCACGGATAGGGCTATGATGATAGGGGGCCTACGAGTAACCCTAACCATTTAAACCCAAAGGGTATATCTTGGGATGAAGGCAGAGAAATACTAAAAATGGTATTCATATCTTTCTAAACTATTAGAATTTCTCAATTATCAACTAGAATCTTTGTTATCCTATCCAATCTGGCCTTTAGGAACCAGCCCTCTCTTCAGCTGGGTTTGTTTCTGAGTTCTCATCCCTACTGAAAAACAATGCAGGCTGGGTGCAGTGGCTCACATCTGCAATGTCAGCACTTTGGGAGGCCAAGGCAGGCAGATCACGAGGTCAGGAGTTCAAGATCAGCCTGACTGACAGGGAAAAACCCTGTTTCTACTAAAAATACAAAAATTAGCCAGGTGTGGTGCCACGTGCCTATAATCCCAGGTACTCAGGAGGCTGAGGCAGGAGAACCACTTAAACCTGGGAGGCAGAGGTTGCGGTGAGACAAGATCGCGCCACTGCACTCCAGCCTGGACAACAGAGCAAGACTCTGTCTCAAAGGAAAAAAGAAAAAAGAAAAGGAAAATAATGCATACTACTAGAATTATAATGCCAAAGTCAAAAGCCAAAGAAAAATTCAATTCTCTCTCCTACTTAATTTGCTCAACACATTTTAAACAGTACTTATAACAACAAAGCACATATAGATATCCTACAAGATAGAATGTGTATTTTAAAATTAAACACAAAATTCAAATAAATTTTATCCTTCTAGGGCAGGGGTAGGATGAGGGGGAATCTTCTTAGAACTATCCATCGGGTACTACAGAGGGTGGCGAAGCTATACTCTCATTCTCTCCTGCCATGAGAGCTTCAGTGAAAAGACAGAACATAAAATAAATACCTAACTGAGGCGGAAAATGGGAGAATAAGAAACAGCTAACACTCCAGTAAAAGAATGTGCTGCTGATCAAAAGAACAGTGTCAAAACTGCTAGGAACTCTTGCTATCTCTTCCAGGCCTCAGTTATCTCTTCTCATCATTAATAATCCCTAGACACAGAGCTAAACAAAGTTACTGTATTAACTAGTAAGAGTGGAAAAAAATTTTGAAGTATAAAGAATTAATCAAACGTGAAATATTATTTTGTGGTAAGAACAGCAAGGGCTCTATGAAAATCTCATCATTTTTCTTTACGTAAGGTAATAGTCCAGCAGCAGCCAGGCAGTGCCACCTCCTCGGAGGCATGAGCACCAATTCCATGAGCCTTCTGCTCCAAGCACCCAGATTCTGGAAACCTCAATCTTTTCCCTTCTCTTCCCTGGATGGGGAGGTGCTATCTGTTTCCTCTGGACAACATCATCATTCTCTTTTTCCTTTCAGCCCTACAACTCTGGTGTAACCATTTCTCTACATTAAATCCCCTCTTTCTTAATTTAAATAAATTTTACTATGTATATTTAAGGTAGATTTTACTGGATATATTTAAGATCATTAGAACTACTCACAAAGTTTCTTCAAATGTAGATTCCCTAGCTCCATCCTCAAGATTCTGTTATCTAAGAAAAGTCTCAAGTGACTCTAATCAGTCAGGCAACCATTCGTGTAAAGAGGAAAGGAACAGAGCGAACACAAAACATGTGCTAATTCCATATTAACCTTCTTCTGTATGGTCAAATTTCTTTAAGATTTTTCTTGTAGACACTCTCATTCAGACAGATAATGAGTTTGTTCATCATGGTAGAAATTGCATCTTATTAACCTATGTATTATACACATCGAGTAGTGTTTGAAATGTCGTAAGTATTCAAAGAATGCTGAATGAACATATAAAAAACTATTTCAAGTCATTAATTTTAGAAAGAACATTTTCTGCATCTCTATTATAAAAGCAAAAATATTTCCAAAATCCATTACTTGTTACTGATATAGAGGGCAGCCAACTGGTGGACTACATTCATCACCACTTCATAGCACCTCGTAACAAAACAGGATAGTTCCTGAAATGACAAGGTGGGTATATATCACAAAGTTGCTTTTTAAATGTTACCATTTTTTACTGAACTTTATGGTACCAACTAAAACAAAACAGTTTTCCAGTAAAGCCTCCAGTTAACCAAAAGTCAGACAACTTCAAGCATCCTTCAAGCAAACAATACTTAACTCACCTCCTGCATCCCAGGGTCGTTCCTATCTCTTTGTTCCCACTGCATTTCATTCATGCTACTATCTCAAATCTAATGTTGTAGTTACTCATGTAACTCCTAATGATAGGTTAGTCACTATGCTAGGCAGTGGATATTCAAAGAAGGAACGCTGTCTCATTCCTTCTTTGAATATCCACTGCCTAGCATAGTGACTAACACTCAACTGCTTCTCAATAAATTTCTATCCTACTACATGAATAAACATCTGAGTAAATAAAGGAGATCAAAAGCTGTCAGTATAGAAAGTACAATGATGGCAAGAAGGGGTTTCCAGAAGTCCTGTAGAATAACTTCAAACACTGATCTAAAAGCAGGCTTGGCATACAGCAAGTGAATTGTCGTATCACTTATCCTAGGGATGTATTTGTCATTAAATAATAATTAGTTCATATCTAACATATCCTAGACTTTCTGAAAGCCCATTTTCGGAAGCTCTCAACTTTTAAACCTATAGAAACGGTGTGTATCTGAAATATTTAAAACCTAATTAAAACTATGCCTATCTAAATTTTAACTTCTATGAGAACAGGAATTTCTTTTGGTGGTGTACACTGCTGTATCACCAGCACCAATAACAGTTTCTAGCATATACTAGACTCAAAAAACATATTTGTTGAATGTTTAAAAATCGAATTTTTAGGCCAGGCATAGTGGCTCAAGCCTGTAATCCCAGCACTTTGAGAGGCTGAGGTGGGAGGATCATGAGGTCAGGAGTTCAAGACCAGACCAGCCAACATGGTGAAAACCCATCTCTTCTAAATATACAAAAAAATTAGCCAGGCGTGTTGGCACATGCCTGTAATCCCAGCTACGTAGGAGGCTGAGGCAAGAGTATCACTTGAACCAGGGAGGCAGAGGTTGCAGTGGGTTGACATCACACCACTGCACTCCAGCCTGGGTAACAGGGCGACACTTCATTTGAAAAAAAAAAAAAAAAAAAAAGAACGGAATTGTTATGCAGCTGTGAGATCTAAAAATGATGTAAAGCGTTTTTAAAAATGAAAATAAATAATGAATTTTATTTTTAAATAGTTCTAGTTTTACATGTCCTAACAAACCTCTAAAAGTTTAACAACAGAAAGTGCAAGACAACTAGAAAGCACAAAGTAAAAAGGCAGAAACAAGCCCAAATATACATATAGACTATATAAGATAGACCTAGAAATAGAATAAATTAAGCAATTAAAAAACAGGTATTGTCAGACTGCATAAAAAAAGCAAAATGCAGATATATATAGTTTTAAATAAACCCAACTGAAACATAACACTGAAAGGTTGCCAGAATGGAAAAAGATAAATCAAGAAAATGTTAACTAAAAGAGAGCCAGGGCGGCATTTATTATACTAGCAGACAAAACAGACTTGATTAGCAATACAGTAAATTGCTATACATGTAAAATATATATACAAAATCACATACACATAATTATGAAGGAAGGTCACAAATGATAAGAGATTTATCAGGAATGATGAACAATTCTAAACTTGTACACAGTGAATAAAATATCCCAAAAATTAAAAATGAAAAATTTTCATATTTACTGGGACCTTACAAACTACATTTTAGATACCTTGATGGAAAAGAAGCCAGCAGCAGCCAGGCAGTGCCACCTCCTCAGAGGCATGGGCATCAGTTTCATGGGCCTTCTTCTCCAAGCCCCCAGATCCTGGCAATCCCAATCTTTTTCTTTTAGTTCCCTGGATGTTTAGTTCTGTTTCCTTTGGACTACCTCACTATTTTCTTTGTCCTCTAACTCCTGGGTAACCAATTCTCTATATTGAATCCCCTCTCTTATTTAAATAAATTTAATTGTATATATTTAAGGTATACACATGTTATGGGACACATACTGATAAAAAGGTTACTAGTGAAGCACATGAACAAATCCATCATCTCACATAGCTAACCCATTTGTTTTGTGGCAAAAGCAGTTAAAATCTACTCACTCGGCATGAATCCCATATATGGTAGTTTTATTACCTTTAATCCTCATGTTGTACATTAGATCTCTAGACTTATACATCTTACATATTTGCTACTTTGTACCCTCATGTTGTACATTAATCCTCATGTTGTACATTAGATCTCTAGACTTATACATCTTACATATTTGCTACTTTGTACCCTCCAAGCTACATCTTTTGAAATACCTTGTATGGAGTTTTCTAGACAGGACCCTGAGTAACACAGATGATAATATCAACAAAAGGCTCTCAATTAGATCAAAAAGACCAAAAAAAAAGCAGTAAAGATATGAAAGATTTGAATAGTACATGTTAACATGCCTGATTTGATGAAATATATCAAATCTTGTAAACAATCAGAACGGAGGTGGGACTATGAGTATTTTTTCCTTAGCTTCAATTTTTGCTTTTTTTTTTTCATATTGTACATGCATTATTTTTAAAATAAAGAGAGGAGAAAATAGAAGCTATTTTATTCGTTTGATCAAGAGTAAACCAAAGGACCTACAATTATTAAAACTTTGCAGTGATGAAAAGCTATCCAAACTGAAACAAGCTGTTAGAAGCATCAAGGGCTACCACTTTAAAAACTTCATCATTGCTCATGTAACAGCTTAATCCTCTCCATTAACAAGTTTTCTTGATATAATTTATCTTTTCCAGTGGGTACAAAGTTTAAATTATTTTGAAAGGCATGGTGACAAGCTGCCCATAAAGGAAAATATACAAAGAAACTTATTTTGATAGCTTTTTTCCTCTAGAAATACGTGGAAATCTTTTAGGAGTTGTGATCTCCGCAACTATAATACAATGCTAATTAAGTGTCTTATCCTCAAAGTACACATCTTTAGTATTTGAAGGTTTCAGAACTTTTTACCTGTTGTGTAATTTACTCAAACTTTTCAAAGTCAAAGCTTGGTAGAAAGTAAAAATCAGTTACCTGTAAGAATGAAATAAATCGCCCCATTTGAATTTGACAATCACCTTCCACCATGCTGGCATCTGTAGCTGTAAAAGGCAATATGAATAAGTGTATTTCATTTTTTAAACTCAAAACTCAATCAATACCAAAAAAGGAGAAAACAGTCACTTTTTTTTCCACTGGGACATCTTTTACTCCACATAGCATTGAAAACAGAATTTTTACACCAAAGAGAAAAATGAGGCATTCACTAATCACATAATTAAAAGTCTCTGCTTCACTATTTAATGAATTCAAGGAAAATTCTCATGTAGCTATGGTATTTTGTAACAAAGATACCACAAATTTGCTGCTGCTTCCTCAGATTTTACCTGTTTACCAAACAAACATACCAACAAAAAATACAAATGTTTGTTTTCTCACACTAATATACAATCATAGTAGTCCTAAAATTGTCTGTTAACTTTTTGTTCATTTCATTATCAAAAAAGGCATCACATTACAATTTTGAACTTTAAACTTACCTCCTTCTCCATAAAACAAGAGACCATTGTAAAATTTAGTTTCAGCCTGTTTTTAAGAAAAAATTAAAATAATTTTAAAGGTTGTTTTGTTTTCAAATTCCTATGCTCTCTTAGATCTACATACTTAGTAATAAACATAGGACTACATTATTTACATACAAATTCGTTTAAATTCAAAAACTGCTTATGAAGCAATTCATCTTTAGAGTAACAAAAATATTACTGATATTCAAAGCTGTATCTTGATTCCTTTAGCCTTTACTTCATCTTACCTGACCACTCTCACTGTCCAACTTCCTCCTATTAGTTCATGGGAAATACAGAGCAACCACATGGCATCAAAAAGCAAGAGAATAAAATATGAAGTTTGCCAACTTCTACCAGAGTTTCATTGGTTCTTGGGTAAGGAAACACAAAACCAAATGCATACTAAAGACTGAAAGCTTTAAAAAAAAATCAGGTTTCTCTACATAGCCAATATATATGGCAGGTAACACAGACTATGGAGGTTTGTAAACCTAGATTCAAACTGTTAACTACCAGAGATGTTAGGCAAGTGGCACTCTCTTTAAGCCTGTTTCCTCATCAATGTCTCACCTACCTCCCGGGGTTACTATAAGGATTATAGTGTTAGCCTGGTGTTTTGCACATACTATGTACTCAGTGAATGGTAGTATTAGTAATACATTAAATAAATAATTCATTCAACATTCAATAAATATTTATTGCACACTATATATATAAAAACATATACTTGCTTCTAAATTATGTTTTTAAAGTTTTAAGACAAGAATTCAAATAATTACCTCATATTTTAATTTCTTGATTTCACAACAAAGTGCAGCATAAACAGTGATGACTTTGTTTAAGACCTAGTTTCAGGAGTAAAAACAAAATAAAAAGTAAATTGCAACATAACTAAAACCTTTTGAAAATACATTTTTAGATTTAGGATTCTGTACCTTGTTTTCCGTCTTTATGAGTTCCAAAAGAGAAGACTGTTCATAAGGCAAAAGCTATAGAAACAAAAGAAAAGAACACTTCGTTTTAATTTGAAAAATAACTGAAATTTTAAATACACAAATTGAGACCAGCTTTATTCTACTTAAACCTGTGTTAGATCCTGTACTCAACATTAGCACCATACCAACTACTTCATCCAAAATAATCTCATTAAACGACACATAAGGAAAGAAATGACCCAGTATGACCCAATCATGTTGTTATAACTCTAGTTGTCTTATACAGCATACGGTAGCTGATTATGAGTGCAGTATGAGAAAATGCAAGGTAGTAAGATGATACTAACATTACTAAACTCTATTATGATCATGGGGAAAAACCACTCACCATTTTTTAATTTTTTTTTTCTTTTGAGATCGAGTCTCACCCTGTCACCCAGACTGGAGTGCAGTGGTACAATCTTGGCTCACTACAACCTCCGCCACCCAGGTTTTAAGCAATTCTCCACCTCAGCCTCCTGAATAGCTGGGATTACAGGTGTGTGACACCACACCTATCTAATTTTTTGTATTTTTAGTAGAGACAAGGTTTCACCATCTCAGCCAGGCTGGTCTTGAACTCCTGACCTCATGATCCACCCGCCTTAGCCTCCCAAAGTGATGGAATTACAGGCGTGAGCCACCATGCCCAGCCCATTTTTGAATTTTCTATGCAGCCACAAATTTAATAAGATTGTAGTTAAAGGGTCAAAATAAATTAAGAATAAAACAATAGAAAAAAATATCTTGTCTTATATAAATCTATGCTCAGAAACACTTAAAACAGTGTGTGGAGTTCACTCCTAAAGCCAGTTCAATTTCCACCTCTTCATGATCATTGACTATATGTGATCTCTGTATTACGTGAAATCTTAGAGCTCCTTCTGGTTACATACTAACATTAACTATTAATGCAAGTAAGTTATTACATACCCTTTTTCATTAGTAAGTTATTATATACCCTATTTCATTGTAATTTTTGTTCAGAGGTTTTATCTGAGTTTGTGGTTTTTCCCAAAATACTAAGTAAAGAATCTTGTATAGTAGAAACAGTAAAATAACTGCCCCAAAATAGAACTTAAACAGAGGTTTCAAAGAGGGCAAATGGGGAGGCAGAGTCTGTAAGATAATAAAATTATAAAGATTAGAATGCTTCTGAAGGGGAAAAGAAACTAAGAGATGATGTCATCCTTTTATAAAATCTGAGAGTTGAGGCAAAAACAGATTTTATAATCATACTAAAAGAAGTCCTTAAAGCCCAAAAGCAAGTCTTAAAAAAACAAGTATTACTTAATGGCGAGTGACAGATACATGAAACTTATTACCCTCAGAGACAGTACAGGTTTCCTAGTAGAGTCCTTATAACTTACATACAATGATTCACAAAGTGTTAAAGAACAAAAAAATACAATTACAAATTTGGGGGAATGATTTTTAAAGTAAGACTAAGTCTATCCAGACTGCAAGAAAGAGTCAAAGGAAAGTAATTTCAGTTTACAAATATATAAAGTATTTGTGAGGCAGTTTAGGGTACTGGATATGGGCACAGGCTCTGGAGCCAAGATGCCTGATACTCATCATTTAACTAAATGTGTCACTTACTCGAATAAGTTACTTAACTTTTCTATGCCTTAGTTTTCTCATTTGTAAATGGAGATGACATTCTATCTCTTTTATAGGATTGTAATTATAGGGAATTAAAAGTAATTAATAGGAAATTAAAAGTCAATACTTGTCCTATAATGCAATACTAAAAAGATTACCCTATTTTAAAATGGGCAAAGGATCAGAACAGGCATTACTCCAAAGAAAACAGACACATGGCCATAAGCACATGAAAACATACTCAACATTATTAGCCATCAGAAATGCAAACAAAACCACAATGAGCTATCACATTCACTAAGATGAATATAATCAACACAATAAAGGCTGGCAAGGATATAGAGAAACTGGAACCCTCTCATACAGTGCTGGTAATGTAATGTAATGTAAAATGGTACAGCCACATTGAAAACATTCTGGCTGTTCCTCAAAAAGTTAAACATAGTTACCACATAACCCAGGATTTCCACTCCCATATACACACACACATATATATAATATACATATGTATGTCTACACAAAACCATATGCCCAAATGCTCATAGCCACATTATTTATAACAGTCAACTAGTAGAAAAACCCAATGTCTATCAATTGATAAACAGATAAATAAAATGTGGTTATCCATTCCTTACAATGGAATATTATTCAGCAACAGCAAAAAAAAAAAGAGAAAGTACTAACATGTGACAACATAGATGAGCCTTGAAAACATTAAGTTAAAAAAGCCAGCCACAAAGTGAAAGTACATATTGTATGATTTCATTTACATGAAGTGTACAAAGGAGACAAACACACAGAGATAGAAAGTAGATTGACTGGAAGTTGCCTAGGGCTTGTATGGCCTGGCATGAACTAAGGATTGCTAATGGGTACATGACTTCTTTTTAGGGTGGTGAAAACATTCTAACATTGACTGTTGTGATGGTTACACAAGTCTGTGAATATACTAAAAACAACCAAATTACACAATTTAAGTGGGTGAATTGCATAATGTATAAATCTCAAGAAAGCTGTTAGAAAAACAAGTCAGTATGTGACTTAGGACAGTGTCGAGTATATAATAAGTGTTCAATAAATTATTCAAGTGGCAACAAACTAGTTATTAAAGTAGAAATATTTCAAAATGTAAACAGTGACCTATTTAATACACTAAAAAATTACTCACACATTAAGTTCTCCTATATCACGAGAGAACTTTTCAGAAGTGATGGAAATATTCTCTGTCTTAATTGGGATATGAGTTACATGTGTTTGACAAAATTAAGAGTATGTGCATTTCACTCTATGTAAAATAACCTCAATTAAGAATAAACAAAGCCTGAATATTCTATCCAGCCCTCATCATCTTCTTAATAACAAAAATCAAAGGAAGCTCAAAGACTTGGAGTTTGTGTCGTTCTTTGACACTAAACGCTTTGTGTTTGTGTCATTCTTAAAACAAAAAAAAAGAACACATTTAAAAACCACCTGCATGGCTTAGAGAAAAGGAAATTAACAATTTTCTTCATCTTTCATTTTGTTCTTAGATTTCAAATAAAAATAATTTTTTTATTTTAAAAAAAAATGTTTTCAGGATATAGTATATCCAGAAAATACATACATATATTTAAAAAATCAAATCTAACCTTTAATGCTATAGGATCAAGATTGAAATCCCAAACATCTCCAATTGAGTCATCCAGTGCATCCTCAATTCTTCTCAGTTGAGATGTATACTCTTCAAGAAATTTCCCATAATTCTTAAGTTGGACTTCAGCATGAATTTCTAAGTTTAAATTTTAAAAGAGTATGTGATTAGTACAAGTAATGAATTACAGAACATTTACTTCAAATAACCTCAAAAGGCACAGCAAAGCATTGGCTAGTTATTACTTTGGAATGTCTGGACTTCTTGAAAATAAAGTTTCAAAGTTAAACAGTAATTCAGCTTTCAATCCTCTGCATACACTTAAAATAATTTTAAAAGCAGATGTTCCCACATACAAAGATACTCTCTTAAAATCCTCACATATCATGAAAAAGTCACTAGCCCATCTACCCCACAATAGAGAGCTTTGAACGAATCTGAAAAGTACGTTAGACAACTCAACATCCTGATTCTAAAATCCTCACATATCATGAAAAAGTCACTAGCCCATCTACCCCACAATAGAGCTTTGAACGAATCTAAAAAGTACGTTAGACAACTCAACATCCTGATTCTATCTTTTCATCATAAACAACTGTTTTGCAAAAACAAATACTTATGACCTGAAGCAGGTGAAAAAACAGTGTGTTGTCACAGAAGCAACATTTAAAAATGAAGTTTTAATTCTATACACACTAATGTTTAATAACACACCTAAATAATTTTAAACGGAGGTTTTAGACCTGCTTGAGCATATTATTTCTATAATGTCTAAAATTTAACCAAGATATCTTGTTATTTAACATCATAATCAAGTTGGAAAAACCAGCAAAGAACACTGCTTGAGTACAGAATACTATGCTGCTATTCCAAGAATTTACACACCCATAGATAACTGTAAGGAATCATTGGAATAAGCTGGATTTTTTTTTTTTTTTTTTTTTTTTTTTGAGACAGAGTCTCACAGTGGCGCAATCTCTGCTCACTGCAACCTTTGCCTCCCTGGTTCAAGCAATCCTCCTGCCTCAGCCTCCCGAGTAGCTGGGACTACAGGAGCGCGCCACCAAGCCCTGCTAATTTTTGTATTTTAGTAGAGATGGGGTTTCACCATGTTGGCCAGGATGGTCTCCGTCTCTTGACCTCGTGATCCATCCACCTCGGCCTCCCAAAGAGCTGGGATTACAGGCATGAGCCACTGCGCCCAGCCTGAAATAAACCGGGTTTTAAAAATATGCCTATTCGTCAAAATGCATAAAAGTACTACTTCAGGTTATACATAAAAATTCATTACTTGTTCCCAAAGGTAATAAATTCAACTCCAACTTAGTTTATTTTATTGGTATGAAAAACTTTATTCAAACTTTGTCTTCTAAAAAAGATAAATATTTGCTCTCCCTAAATTAGCAATGTGAAGCAACTAAGTGTTTTCTGACTCATGCTGTATTAAAGTATGAAGACCCAGCCCCTATTCTCCCTTATTCTTCAACCACATAACGTTCTGAATTAGGTGAGTCCATTTAGTTCATTAAGGTTTGTACAGGTAGTGCTCGACTTACAACCACGGTAGGGACCGCAGAACGGTCGTAACACAATTTGGTCGTAAGTTGAGTAGGCTATATGTGCAGTTGAAATGGTGCACACGGAGACGGTAGTGCTGCCAGAAGCTGGTCTGCACTGTCGTACGCCCAGCTGGGCAACGTTTGCACTGCCAGGAGTGGAGCAGTCGTGGCTAGCGATTGTGGTTGTAAAGTCGAATGGTCGTAAGTTGCATAGGTCGGAAGTTGATCAATACCTGTATTATTATAGTATTAATCTAGGCAATTTTGGAAAACAGTCTAGAAATGATTCACAGACCAAAAATTAATGAAAGCCAAGCACAGGGATATGTTCTTTTCCCTACAGCTTACATATAAAACTGCCTAGATTCTCAGCACCCCAAAGAGTTGTTTTATCCTCAATTACACAGGAAATGACCAGTCAAAGCTGCATCTGACCAGCAAATGAGTTCTTAAAGACAACACTAGGCTGAGCATGGTAGCTCATGCTGGTAATCCTGACACTTTGGGAGGCCAAGGCAGGTGGATCGCTTGAGCTCAGGAGTTCAAGACCAGCTTGGGGAACATGGAGAAACTCTGCCTCTACCCAAGTTAAAAAAGAAAAAATCAGCCAGCTACGAGAGAAGCTGAGGTAGGAAGATCACTTGAACCAGGAAGTTAGAGGCTGCAGTGAGCCCTGATGATGCTTCTGCACTGGGCGACAGAGTGAGACCTTGTCTAAAAAAAAAAAAAAAAAAAAAAAAAAAAAAAGAGCGAGAGAGAATGCTAGGAGGAAACACGCCAGTAAATCACTCCTTTAGTATGTTTAGGGATTCACAAAGACACAGACAACAGAAAACCAAAAATAACATTATAAGTTCCTTGCTGACAATAAATTGTTGCAAAATTGGTGAAGATTAAGAGAACAAACGTTGAGATAAGAACTACATGGTAATTTTTTAAGAGTAAAAATTCCAAAAACCTACTTAACATGCTCATCTTTATCAACAGACTGCATTCCTTGTTTTATCTCTGTATCCCTAATACCTAGCACAGGCACTGGTTTTAGAAAATACCTGTTGAATCAAATCATTCTACTCTAGGCTGAACGTCTTTCAAATCCAATAACATAACTCGTATTCCAATATTTTTGAGGATACCAGAGTTGGTCATCTTTGCCCATAAAACTTCATACATGACAAGGTACAGTTCACTTTATAACATACAGAATCCGCTCCACAAAAAAGCTTAAAAGATTTTGTCATTATCTCCAAGATTAATTTTTATGCTGCGTAAGAGCTAATATCTTATGTTGCCCAGGCTGGAGTGCAAAAGCGCATTCTCAGCTCGGTGCAACCTTCACCTTCCGGGTTCAAGCGATTTTCCTACCTCAGCCTCCCGAGTAGCTAGAATTACAGGCGCCCGCCACCATGCCCGGCTAATTTTTCTATTTTTAGTAGGTAGAGACGGGGTTTCCCCACGTTGGCCGGGCTGGTCTGGAACTCCTGACCTCAGGGATGTTTTGTGAAAAACTACAACCTATCCTCGATGTAGCTAACTCTTCTCTAAGAGATTTGTAAAACCTAATTACATCTAAGTTTGTAGACATTAGCTTCTCTTTGTAAAATCAAGCAAAATTCATCTGGAATTTTAAAAGCGACGTTCCACCTTTGAGAAAACTATGCCAAAAAAAAAAAAAAAAAATCACAAACAGCATGCTCCGATATCTCTTAGATCACTTACACAGATTAATATCACCAAAGATAAGAAACAGATTGCCAACTTGTATTTATTTCAAGCAGAGTTTCGCTATAACAATTAGTTTGGACTCAATATTTTAATGAAAGAAACTGAATTTGTTCGTTTATTTTTGGTTGGACTTCTAAGTTAAAATCAGAATTCCATCTTGTGAAGCAAAATTTGAAGCCGATTTGCTGTAATTTTTGAAGCCTTTATAGCTTCGATGGAAACTGCAGGACATCACTGAAAAATACCACTTAGCATAAATAAAGGGCCTGGGAAGGGATAAAATGACATTCACGTGTTCATTTTTGTGGGATCAAGAGTTCTCTTCTCGGTGCCTTCTACGGTTATAGCAACGCGATGGAAAAAACACCCAAACTTCCAAAAGTTGATTTGAGAGGAAAAGAAGAAAAACAGGAAACCGAAACAGGAACCCAGACATCAGCGTCCTCCAGAGCTGAACGCTCTGAGAATCTGGCGAAATCCCCAAGAGGCCAGAGACAAGCAGCGGCCAGGGCTCCCGGGGACGCTGGGCCTCGCGGGCGCGCCCCGCCCAAACCCCGGGGCAGCCGAGGAGGACGCCGCTCCCCGCGGGGCACCGCAGGCTCCTCCGGAGAGTCCCCGCCTCAAACGCCGAGCCCCGGGCGGGCAAGCCTGCCCCGCCGCGGCTGGAACCCCAACCCCGAGAGTAACGCTGGAGAGCGCATCCCTCGCACACCCCAGGGGCTCTCAAGTGTCCCGCACCGGACGGCTGCGCAGCCGTCCCTCTCGCAGAAGCGCTGCCCAGGACTGCGGCGGGCCGGGCGAGCGTCCACCCGCAGCCCTCGCCCTGCCGCTCCCTTACTCTGCGAGCCGTCGTCAACGCGGTCAAACTCCCAGTCCGGGGACAGAGTCTCCACCGCCATCACCTCGGCGCCTCCCACAGAAACAGCCCCAACCAGCCCTTACGGCGACGACGGCCTCACCCCAGCGACTGTCACAGCACGTGACTTCCGGCCCCGGCCCCGCCTCCGCTCGCGAGGGCCGGCCGGGCTCTTCGGGGGCCGCTGGGAAAGCGAGTCCTCCGCGGTGGCCGAAGGCGGCCGCCATGGCGCCGGCAGTCTGCGCGGCGGTCGTGCGACCCGGCCTGGGCTTCCCCACCATTTACTGTGCTTCTCAAGCCACTTCGGCGCCTTTAATTTCGCCAGGCTCTCTGTAGACGATTTTTAATACCTGGGGAAGTTATTCCTCAGCCTAACCTAAAAAGGGTAGAATTGATGGGGTGGGGAATTAACAGGAAGGCACGATCCTCGAGGACATCGCTGACCACGCGCTTCTTCCTAGAAGCCCGTTTCCGATTCCCTTCCCGTCGCCACCGTGGGAGTTCCTACAGCCTTCCCGCACATTCTGTGCGGACTGTTTTTTAGTAAAGAAGGCTGTGTGCGAGAGGAGGAGTTACCTTATGAACACCCTAACAGGGAATCTTGCTACCTCTCCCCTGCTCTCCACTCAGTCCTTTTAAAAACGCGAGGTGGGATGAAGAACGCTGTTGAAGTGCGTTCTAAAATGCTCCCACCTGCTACCTGGATTTTTGGAGAATCCGGATCGGTGTAAAATTCTGCATGCGCACATGTATTTGCACAAGAATGTTTATTCCAACGTGGTTTTTAATACGAAACTATCTCAATGTCCAAGTGAATTACGTAAAGCTCGATATATCCATACTACGAATCACTGAAGAGCTGCTAAAATGGATGAGATATAATGGCATGAAAAACCGACACAAGACAGTTGCAGAGTCATGTGTGTTTGTGATTACATTTATGTTTTTAAGTTATATAAACGCGTATGTGCATATGTGTATGTAAATTCACAGGAAGATAAATCACAGGATGGTAGTTACCTGGGGAAAAATGTGTTGGTGAGTAACAGGGTTTTCAAGTTTTGATATGTCTACTTACGTGTTTTGAATCTTTAACAATGAGAATTTATTAACGTTTTGCTAGTGTAACCTTAAAAAATACGGAAAGAACTAATCAGTGTAAGCAAAAGGTCTGTGGAAGAGCATTCTGCCGTAGTCATTGGATCTGCCCTGGGTTAAGTGTTTATTGAGTGACCACTGGGTGCTGGGTACCAGGCACCATGCTAGATGCAGAAACTGTAAAACAGGTAAGAAAATTGATCTCTGACCCTATGGCAGACTTAGTGGTCATTTTAGAAAGAAAATAATAATCTTGAAAATAACAGACATCGTTAGGGCCTTAATGGCTGACAAACTTTTTTCCTGTACTTTCTCTGTGACCATGAGTTTCACTTTGCTGGTTTCTTAACATTTGCATTAAATCATTGTAATTAATCTCCCTGCAGCTCATTGTGATAAATTGAAGTTACAAATGAGAACAATTTGAATCTACAAATACACGAATCTATTAAAGTTAATAGATTAGTAGCAAGAGGCAGTGTCATGTAATAATTAAAAGCACAGTTTTGACTGCCAAATTGCCTAGGTCCAAATCCTGGCTCTGCCACTTACTAGCCATGTGATCTTGGGTCACGTAATTTAACCTCTGCCTCAATTTCCTCATCTATAAAATGGAAATAAAAATAGTAAACACCTTGTGGGATTCTTACGAGGACTAAATTAGTTAATACATATAAGGTACACAGAACCATACCAACCACGTACTGTATGTACCAGGTTGCTATTATGAATCAACATAGAGTTATCTTAAAAAGATCTCCTAAGGAGGCCGCGCAGTGGCTCAGGCCTGTAATCCCAGCACTTTGGGAAGCTGAAGCAGGTGGATCATGAGGTCAGGAGTCCGAGACCAGCCTAGCCAACATGGTGAAACCCTCTCTCTACTAAAAATACAAAAATTAGCTGGGAGTGGTGGTGCGTGCCTGTAATCCCAGGTACTCAGGAGGCGGAGGCAGGAGAATCACTTGAACCGGGGAGGCAGAGGTTGCAGTGAGCTGAGTTTGTGCCACTGCCCTCCAGCCTGGCGACAGAGTGAGATTCCGTCCCAAAGCCTGGGCAACGTGGTAAAACCCCATCTCTACTAAAAATACAAAAATTAGCTGGGGGTGGTGGCAGGTGCCTGTAGTCCTAGCTACTCGGGAGGCTGAGGCAGGAGAATCAGCGTGAGCCACTGCACTTTATCCTGCGCAACAGAGCGAGACTCCATCTCAAAAAAAAAAAAAAAAAAGAAAGAAAGAAAGAAAGAAAAAGAAAATCTCAGGGATTGTCTGTCTTGATCTTAAATATGTTTAAATCAAATTCCACAGCCTATAATTTCAAATTTTGTTAGAGAATTACAAATTAGATACAACACATTCACAAATGAAAAGTGCTATCTGAAAGTTATTTATAAAAATAAATGTCCTGGGCCAGGCGGTAGCTCACGCCTGTAATCCCAGCACTTGGGAGGCCAAGGCAGGTGGATCATGAGGTCAGGAGTTCGAGACCAGTCTGGCCAACCTAGTGAAACCCTGTCTCTAAAGAAAAAAAAAAAAAAAAAGAAGAAAGGAATAAATAAATAAATAAATGTCTTACATTTCTTAGACCTAGTCTGCAGAAGGCAAATCATTATTTTAAGTAATTACATCTTCTTCATTATACTACTCTTCATTCACACAGTACTTTCTGAAAAGCAAGCTTGGAAATAATTTCACATGGACAATATTGTGCTATTCTGAGAGCTCCTGCGAACTTTAGAACAGCTGCCTATGGAAGGTGCCTGCCTGCCAATTCCTAGGAATCCCTGCCTTTAACTTACAGCCCCACATGCCCACACCTTAAGTACCAGTTTATTCCATACCAAAATATTTTATGTATATATTATATAGCTAAGGTCTTGATGAATTTGTTTCTTAATTTACATTTAAAGGCTTCCAACTGCTATTCAACCGAGCAATCCCATTACTGGATTTTTATCCAGAAGAATGTAAATCATTCTACCATGAAAACACATGCATGCAAATGTTCATGGCAGCACTATTCACAAAAGCAAAGACATGGAATCAACCTAAATGCCCATCAATGACAAATTAGATTTTTTAAATGTGGTACATATACACCATGGAATACTATGCAGCCATAAAAATGAACAAGATCATATTATTTGCAGGAACATGGTTGGAGCTGGGGCTGTTATCCTTGGCAAACTTAACACAGGAACAGAAAGAAAATACCACATGTTCTCATTTATAAGTGGGAGCCAAATGATGAAGCTCATTAACACAAAGAAAGAAACTAATAGACACTGGGGTCTAATTGACGGTGGAGGGTAAGAGTAGGGAGATGAGCAGAAAAGATAACTATTAGGTTAATACCTGGGTGATGAAATAATCTGAACCACAAACCCCCATGACACAAACCTTCGCATGTAATCTGTACCACAAACCCCTATGTAACAAACCTTCACATGTACCCCTGAACCTAAAAGTTTAAAATAAATAAATAACATATAAAAGAAATAAAATCTTTCTTCAACAGAAATTCTATGGCAGTAACTCACTAAAGACATTTCACTTAGTACTTTGTCACAGAGTTCTGCGTATATCTGTTAAAAAGATTTCTAGTATGTTAATCCATGTATTTATTTACAAAGCAGTCTCTCACTTGGACAACCACTGTGGATGTGTGACAAGTCTTCTCTCTCCACGGTCCACATTCTCTGTGTGAAGCTTCTCAAAACCTGTCTGATTAGGTCATGCCCCACTTTAAATCCTTCCTATTGCCTATGGTATGGAGTTTATGCTTGGCATGTAACTCAAGGCTTCTTCCAATCTGCCCTTTGATTTAAGGGATCCTAAAGCCATTATACGGGGGGTTATCAATGATTGCGGGATCATACAGATTACCACTATATCTATTTTTAGCAGAGATGGGGTTTCGCCAGGCTGGTCTGGAACTCCTGACCTCAGGTAACCCACCCACCTCGGCCTCCCAAAGTGCTGGGATTACAGGAGTGAGCAATCGCATCGAGCCTAGATTAACATTATATCTGATTCCCTGAATCCCAGGTTGGACTGAGTGCTTCAGCCCTGTGCTTCCATAGTATTTACTACTATGAAGTTATCTATTGACATAATTATCTCCCCTACTAAGTTATGTATTAGTTTCCTATTGCTGCTGTAGCAAATTGTCACCAACCTCATGACTTAAAACAGTACAAATTTATTATCTTCAAGTTCTAGAGGTCAGAAGGCCAAAATCAGTCTCATCAGGCTAAAGTGAAGGTGTAAGTAGGGCTGGTTCCTCTTGGACACTTGCCTTTTTCAGCTTCTGTGCATTACTTGAACCTCTTGCATCTGTCATCACATTTCCTGCTATTGACTGATTCACTTGCCTTCCTCTTGTAATGACCCTTGTGATTACATCGAGCTCACGCAGATAATCCAGGATGATCTCCCTATCTCAAAATCCTTACCTTAATCTGCAAAGTCCTTTTAAGCATGTAAGGTAACATATTCGCAGGATCTAGGGATTAGGACATGAACATCTTTGGGCACCTGTTATTCAGCCTAATGCAGACCATCAGCTCTTTGGTATCAGGGACCGTGGTTTATTCCCACATTGCACAGTCCCTGATACATGTTAAGCACTCAGAAAATATTTCCGGTAAATATAGGAAGTCAAGAAGCCTGAAGTCTTTTCTAATAATTCCAATATTTAGATTTCCTGTGGGTCTCTTTTCTGTTGTCTGGTGATGTTTTGTTTTGTTGGGGTTTTTTTCATCTTCTTTTGATTTTCCATCATTTGGCCTTATTTCCTGGTAGAGCTGATCATTTTTTTAGTGCATCCTGATCTTTATGTATCAAAAACTGTAGAGAGAAATTAAGGCTCTAAATGATGTCATCTTTCTTCAGTGAGGATTACTACTTTTTCTGGAAGGCCACTAGTGTAGGGGCGGATTATTTTAACCCTGTCTAAGACTGTTCTGATTTGAAGCTGGGTTTCTGTCTTTGTGAGAGCTCATCTATTTCTGTTATCACCTCAGTCCTAGGGCAT